TCATATCTTTTTAAAAATCTTGAAGTTGTGTTGTAAAACTCTGCCCTAAACCTGATTTAATTAAAAGTGTATGGTCGTTCTACGAAGCATTTTTCTCAACGCTTCGTTTTACACCATTTTACCATTTTATAATTGCACCATTTTATAATTGCACCTCATAAAATGGTTTTTAATTGATAAATAGTTTTGAACTTTTTCACACTAAAGTAGAATCGTGTAGTGGAGCACTTTTAGCTTAAAATCATCCTTTTCATTCATATTTCAACTGCTTTGTAAGTACTTTTGTATAGTAAGAAGTTTTCGAGTCTGGCAGGATTCGAACCTGCAATCTCTTGATTCGTAGTCCGACGCGTTATCCGTTGCGCCACAGACCCATGAGGGAATGTGTAAGTTATTGTTGGAAGCAATATTTTATTCAATAACTGTTTGTCAAAAAGTGCTACGCTTCTTGTCATACGTTTTAAGTAGGTTCATGATATATTAAGGTTTGTTTTAATTGATAGTATTTTCATATCTTTTTAAAAATCTTGAAGTTGTGTTGTAAAACTCTGCCCTAAACCTGATTTAATTAAAAGTGTATGGTCGTTCTACGAAGCATTTTTCTCAAAGTAATGCTGAATGATCATAAGTCTTCACAAATTCCAGGTTTATTTACATGCTTGTTCGAGCTTAACTATTTCGCAAAAGTTACTCACGACAACAAAATTCTTTTCGAATTGATTTGTTTTTTGGTTTCATTGTTTGTGAAACTTTGCAAATTGTTGTTGCAAGCAGTTTTGGGTTTATCTTTGAAGTTTTTTTTGATGTTGAAAAAATAATTCTTATCGAAAACAATCTGTTGAATTTTTGGAAAACTTTCACTCGTGTAATTTGTTCGAGATGGCTTTCAATTCTTTGATCATTTTTCATTGCACTTCATAAAATGGTTTCTAATTGATAATTAGTTTTGATCTTTTTCACACTTAAGTAGAATTGTGTAGTGGAACAAATTTAGCCTAAAATCATCCTATTCATTCATCTTCAAACTGTTTTATTTGTATTTTCTGATAGTAAAATCCATGCTGGCAGGTGTCGAATCTGTAATCACCTGATTCGATGGTTCGTTGTTAGACGCGTTATCAGTTGCGCTACAGAACCATGATGGTCTCTGTCGGTTTTCGATTGAATCAAAGTTTTGTTCAATAAATGTTTGTCGTAAAGTGCAACGCTTCTCCCTCTTATGTTTTTTAGTTGTTTCATTTTTTTGAGGTTTGTTTTATTTGATAGTATTTTCGAAAAGGTTGTATTGATCTTTTTTATGCGTAATTGTTCACATTAAACTTAAAAATGAATGCCTCCCAATGAAAAGAAACTCAATTCTAAGTAAAAACTTCTCAAATATGTTGTTTGTCGTGTCTTAATGCCTTCGTCCATTAACTTCTTTTTCATTTTTCTCTAAAGCGCTGTTTCAAAAATAAAACAATGGGCAGTGTTATCAAATGAAGAGGCTATCAAAGTCTTCCTAATGGCTTGTAATTTGCTTTACATAACTTTCGTTTTGAATCACTTTTTTTTGTATTGTAGTTGTATAGTTATACTCTGTTCTAGAGCTCTACAAATGAAAGTGTATGGGCCATTCTTCCTTAAGCTTTATTTCCAAAATAAAATTGGATGAAAATAAGTATTCACAATTTCTAGATTTTTTCACATGCTTCTTTGAGCTCAACTATTTCGCAAAAGTTTCTCACGGCAACAAAATTCTTTTCGAAATGATTTTTCTTTTGGTTGTTGTTTGTGAAACTACGTCAACTGTTGTCGCAAGCGGCGTTTTTGCTGATGCTGAAAAAGTAATTTTATGGAAAACGTTCTGTTGAAGTTTTTTGAAAAACTTTCACGCGTGAAAATGTTCGATGGTTTCCAGTTCTTTTCTCTTTCTCATTGCGCCTCATAAAATGATTTATAAATGATTATTTGTTTCGATTTTTTGCATAGCAAAGTAGAATCGTGCAGTGGAGCATCTTCAGCTTAAAATCATCCTTTTTTCATTTTTGAACTGTATTTTATGTACTTTTGGATAACAAAAAGTAATAGTGTGGCAGGTGTCGCACCTGAAATCTCCTGATTCGGAGTCAGACGCGTTAGCAGTTGCGCTACAGAAACATGATGGTCATTGTTAGTTTCAATTCATTCAAAGTTTTGTTAAATAAATGTTTGTCCTAAAATGCAACGCTTCTCTTATGTTTTTAGTAGGTTCATATTTTTTCAAGGTATGTTTTATTTGATTGTATTTTCCAACAGATTGTATGGGGTCTTTCCTTTTTTTGTGTAATTAGTCACCTTAAACCTAGAATTGAAAGCTTGCCCATGAGAAGAAACTTAGTTCTAAGTTACAACACTTTTTTATGTTGTTTGTCGTGACTTTATGCCTGGATCCATTACCTTCTTTTTCATTTTTCTTGAATTACTGATTCAAAAATAGAAAATTGGAGTTGTTATCAGTTGAAGATGCTATCGAGTTTTTAAATGGCTTTTAACTTGCTTTACTTAACTTTTGTTTCAAATCACTTCTTTGAAGTATTTAAGTTCTATAGTAAAACTCTGTTCTAGAGCTCATTCAAATAAAAGTGTATGGGTCGTTCTTCATTAAGCACTTTTTTCAAAAATAATGCTGGATGAAAAAAATGTTATCATTTTTCTAGGTTTTTTCACATGCTTTTTTGAGCTTAAGTATTTCGCAAAATTTTCTCACAAATTTTTTTTTCAAAATTTTTTTTTTGATTTTTTGTTTGTGAAGATACGCCAATTGTTATCGCAAACAGTTTTTAGTTTTTCTTCCGAGATGTTGTTGATGCTAAAAGTAATTTTCATCGAAAACGTTCTGTTGAAGTTTTTTGAAAACTTTTACTCGTGTTATTTGTTTGAGATTACTTTCAATTTTTTTAATCTTTTTTCATTGCACGTCATAAAATGGTTAATTACGTTTTCGATGATAATTAGTTTTGAAAATGTTCACACATAAGTAGAATCATGTAGTAGAGCATCTTTAGATTAAAATCATCCTCCTCATTCAGCTTTCAACTGTTTACTTAGTACTTTTGGATAATGAAGCGTTATCGAGTCTGGCAGGAATCGATCCTGCAATCTCCTGTTTTGTAGTCAGTCGCGTTATCCGTTCCACACAGACCCATGAGCAAATGTGGTAGTTTTTTATTCGGGCAAAGTTTGTTTAAAAAAGCAGTTAAGGCTTTCCTTTGTTTTGGAATTACGCCAGTGATTGTCGCCAGGAATTTTCGATTTTCTCTACGGAAATTTTTGGTGCTTAAAATTAATTTTGTTGAATATATTTCTTAAGCCGGTGTAATTTATACATGTGTAATCTGTTGAAGAAAGTATGTAGTTCTATTCATTGGTTTTATCTTCCAATCTTTATTTCAAAATTTTTACTTGTGTAATTTGTTGAAGAGGGCTTTCAGTTCTTTTATCACTTTTCATTGCACCTCACTAAATGGTTTCTAAGTGATTATTAGTTTTGAAAATATTCACACTAAAACAGAATCGTGTAGTGGAGCATCTTTTGCTTGAAATCATCTTATTCATTCATAAGTTAATTTATAAAGTAGTTTTGGATAACGAAAGTAATAAAATCTACATTCTCCGGATTTGAATTCAGACGCGTTATCTGTTGCCCCACAGAAGTGGTAGTTTTCTGATGCGGGCAATTTTTTGTTTAATAAATTTTTGTCCAAAATCGCTATGCTTCTTGTCATATGTTGCTTTGGTAGATTCATTATTTTTTCATGCGTGCTTTAATTGGAAGTTTTTTCGAGCATAATGTACAGAAATTTGTTTCAGAGTTTTTTGCCTGTTTATTCTAATTCAGTCTAAAATTAAAAGCGTACCAGTGAGAAAAAATTCAATTCTAATTAAAACGTCTTAATTATGTAATTTGTCCATCGCCTGCTCTTTCTCATCTTTCACGTATTTGATTTTATACTGATTCAAAAGTAAATAGTTCGGATTTAGTTGCAAGTTCTTCTGAATGGCTTTTACTTTGCTGTATTTTTTCTTTCATATCGCTTTTTTGAATCTTGTAACTGTGTATTAAATTTTAAAACTGTAGTTTCTTCAATTAAAAACTTATGGGCCATTTTTCCTTAGGCTCTTTTTTAAAGAAAATGCTGAATGATAATAAGTACTCAAGAATTCTAGATTTTATATCGTTTTTGTTCTTCGAGTCGTTTGGTGCGTGATCATTCTTGATCAGATCGGCGTTCCTTTTGCTTCCGTTTTTCAAAATTTACTGGCTTCAAACTTTTAAATTCAATCTGATCTACAGCTATAAGGAAATATTTAGTAGAAAATAATGATGCATACAGCTGAAATGGTATGTATACAGGTCAGCAGAGTTGTCTCAATTATATCTTATTAGCATTATATTATAGAATCAATGAATTTAAAATTGTTAATTATAACAAAGATAGCCGCTTGCTGTGCAAGTAGCACAGATTTTTCCGACCGCATTCTCAGATTTTTTTCTTTCAATTTAGTGTCCTTTTTGCGCGTCGTGTGATGATGAACTATAACGAGCGCGTACAAATTTATCGAATTAGGCATAAACGGCCCCAATTGTCTTCAAAAAAAATTGACAAATTTTTTCAATTTTTTTTTCATTTTTTTTGCGCTGAATATTTTCATTTTTGAGTCTTTTTAACAGAGAAGCGCTAAATGAAGCTTTTCTTTAAGTGAAATCAAGTTTTTTTTAGCTTAAATTGCTTATTTTCATCTATAACGAACGTTAATTGATCGTTTTACCAGTTTATGAAGTTTTTAAACCAGTTTTTTTTTCGATGATTTTAAACCAGTCTTAAATAAATTTTTCTCGATACTGTGACAGCTTTTTAGAAATTTTTAAATATTGCTCGACTCATTTCTGAAAGAGCTTTGATATATGTCGTTCCTGACAGCGTTCCATACAAGTCGTTCCTGACAGCTATTTTGAATCGTGATCTCTGTGTTGTTAGGTGGTCTCTAAAAAAATGTCTTATCAAATTCTGGAGAAGCAACCTGGCTACGTGAAGGAGTTGGAGCGAGTGCAGTCTCTTCAGGAGGACTTGTATGGAGCCCTGCGGGTGTGCAAAGACTGTCGCAGTCATCTAGAGGTGGTCAAGCACTGTAACACGGAGTCTGTGTTGGAACTGTTTGGCTTCTATCGAAGAAAATGCAACAATTCTACTGTCCTTAAATGTCTCGGTGATTTCTCTTTTATTTTTATTTCTCTCAAGTTCTCAGAAAACCAGTCAAATCCCCAATTTCAAACGCTTTTCTCTTCCAACTGAAAAAAGTTGGTTTTTCAAATTCGCCAATTGTCGATTAAAGAGTTGGTTTTTGGGACTGGCAATAAGAATTAGGTTTAAAGAGTTGTTGAATTTCATCGTCTTAAAAATGATGTAATTTTTTCATTGAGGAAAAACTCTCTTTCCAGAAATGGTTTGTTCAGGACAAATTTATATATTTTGGCAGTTTCGCTTTTGATTTTTCCTTTTTGAAGTTCACTTCAAGCTTTTTTTTGCAAAAGTGAAGGCAAATTAAGCTCTCCAATAACAAAAACAAGCTACTTGACTGTTGGTCAAAGTGGATTCTAACAAAAAAGGAAACTTTTAGGTGTGCTAGTGAAACAAAAAATTCTTGTTGATCCTGTTAATTTTGACCATAATTTTTTTTCCTGTGATATCTATTGCACAGTTTAGCCTTTTACCGATTCTCTCTCCTTCCGTTCTAATTAAGTTTCTAAAATGGCGTAAACTGATTCTATTTCATCACTTTGCGCATGATGACTCCCAAGGCTTGAGAGAATACTAATGCGACGCTGGACCATTGCATAGCTGACGCTGGCTAGACACTCAGAAATAATGTTCAGGACGGTCATTGATCAAATCAAAAAAATTTTCCTCGTAACTTAGAACGCTTGACTGTGCTCGGGGTCGGATCTAGTATTTTCTCTCGGGGGGGGGGGGGGGGATCTCCAAAAAAAATCAAAAAAATTGTCGACTTTTTTTATGTCGACCAAATTGATTTTCTGAGCTCTATCAAATTCCTGTAAAGCCCTTATTTTGACCATAATTATCTGCGCCGCAGTCAAATTGCGGTTTTTTCGGCGCGCGCTCCTCCGTATTGGCGCCTTTGGAAAAATTTTCCGGCCAGTCAGCCAAAAATGGATATCTCATAATAGTCTGCCCCCTACTTCGAATCCTCTGCTGACTGTGCTCAACTTGATCTCGGGGCACGAAAAATGTGTGGGAACTGTGTCCTTTAACAAGACTTCAAGCTATCCGACCGACATGACTTTCAATTCCTTGAAAAAAAAATAACAAAAACTGTGAACAGTTTAGAACCCATAACATTAACTTAATATAATAGCTAAGCTATCGCTTGTGGATGATTTGCCGCAAATTTTGTCTCAGATTTTTCGCAACTGGGTTGGGTTGGCGCTTTTTTCTAAAAATCCCGCATCCCGAAAAAATTTCCAATGTGGCGATAGAAACGAAAAGCTGGCAAGAAAAGAGCTCAAGCATTTTTCGAACAGCCCAGTTGATTATGCGTGGGTTCAGATCTAGGGTTTTTGTTACTTGAAAAGGCTTATGCTACATCACTTAGGCTTTTGCTACTCTAAAAAAATGCCCTGCTTAACTTAAAGGTAAAATGTGGAGCTAATTGTAGAGCTCTAAAATATATTATCAGTAGATACAAATTTACTTATAATTGTAACTTATACTTGTAGAATACAGAACGTTTCGAACGGGCCAAAAAAGACTTTTTATTAAGAGTTTTTTTATTATTAAAAAAATACACAAAACTAACAAAACAATTTTAAAAAAGGGGGTCAATTAAAATGGGCCCTTCCGTCATGCGACGATACGTGCACAGGTTGGCTAGTACAACAACGTGCACCAACGCTATATAAATTTATCGACAAAATTTTATAAATAAATCAAGTCTATTTTAATGCATCAAGAGAATTGTCAATTAAAATCTATCCTCCTCGATTACAGCACAGATAGAATTGTCTATGTTGGATGTATTTTTAAGTTTTTTCCACCACCTAAAGCAGAGGATTGCACTCCTCAGAAGTGCAAAACTTATTTCTGTTCTTATATAGTTAATTGTGTCCGAGTATGATTCGTTCCGTTTTTCGCTTAGTTTCTCTGCTAGTTCTGGACGGTTTTTGTAGAGCCCGGTGCTGCTCCTCCGGTACACGCAAAAATTAGTGGAACAAAGCTGCTGTGTTCCACTCCAGAATTCTCTGTTGGTATTTTAATGTTTTGACACTCTCATGATATTTGTAGGCGTCAGATATAGTTTTAGGGCAGGATTTAGCATGGGGGTTGAAAATTTTTACATCGAAAAAGGTTCGGCTGAATCGGCCTCCCCAGAGTCCATTTGCCTTGATGTCAAGTCGAGCGTCATCTCAGTAGTGGTTGTTTTGTTGTGGAAGCTTTCGCCTTCCAACGATTGAAGTTTCGGCTCTATTTCAACATCATGACATACTTCGTCCAGGAAAGTCGCAAGGGTATCGCGAATTTCATTATGTCTTAGATGAGTGTATCCACCTTTGGGACAGTGTAGGGAGTGGGTCAGTGTGACCGGTTGTCCACACGGGCATGTATGTGGGGTGTTTGGTGGTTCCCATCCATATCTCAGATGTCATCCGTCTTTAAACTCTGATTTGTTGAGAGAGAAATTGTATTTTTTAGGGGAAGCACGCTTAGCCAATTCGATGCTCCTTTCTGTGACGCAAGATTTATTGTCAGTTTTTTCTCTGATGAGCAATTTTCCATAATTTTAGCCTTTTTTGAGAGTGTGATGTTATGTTTCTCAGTTTTGATGTTTCTATTTATCAGAGTTTGTTCCGTTTCAGCTATTTCTGTATCACTGTTTTCTAACGGTTCACAAATGGCTCGCGACCAATCATAGTTTTTGGAAAAGTCCGTGTTACTGAGGAGGTCTAATCCTCCCATTCTTAGTGGTAGTGCAAAAAGGTTGCGATCTTCATCGGTTATATGGTTTTTATCAGTAATACTAGGAAGTAGCTGCTGTCTTACGTTTTCTCAATTTCATCCATTTTCTTAAATGCTTCCGGAGTTGTTCTGGTTAGAAAGCTTAATTTATTTTGAACTCCCTTTGTGTAGCAGGAGTACGCATTTTGTGGTGATGTTTTCGCTATTTTGGAAAGCTTTTCAGTTAGGGTAGCTGTCTTTTCAATTTTGCTCTCGATGTACTTATCGCATGCCGATGGTTTTCCTATGACCGATCCAAGGACTCTAAAACCGTCTACCATTGTAATATTTGTGCCTTCGAATACTTTAATGGCGCTTTCACGACAGTTTTCCTTTACTATGAGTTGACATTTGCAAGGCTTCACATTGTACCCGAAAGCCTTTCCGTGCATATCTAGGTTGTCCAGTATTGCGCGGAGACTCTTAAGATCACCTGCAGTGCTTCCATCATCTGCGTACCATTTTTGGGTGACATTTGGCTTTTGAGCTCAATCAGTGGGATTATTCCAATTCCGTACATAACCATTGCGAGGGGATCATCTTGCGTTGTGCCTTCGGTAGATGTCAAAACCGTGTTATTGATCTATAAATTTGAGGGATGTTTTTATGAGTTGGCCAGCGCATGATGTAGTGCCTGACAAAGGATATCTACATTTTTTGGAGCAAGTTCTCTATTCAGCGAGTTGAAGGCGTTTTCTGCATCATTAAGTAGTATGGCTTCCGTTTCCGGTTTCTCAAACTCCTTCCTCAAGCTGTGGATAGCATATTAGATTCCACACTTCTGGCCTAAGCAGAGTTGGAAATTTTTCCCGATATTTTTAAGGTCTGATTTTATACATTGGGTGATTGTTTTGCCAATTATTCTTCTCAGAACCTCGCCTATACGAATGGGCCGTACCCCTGGATTTTTGTCCAGAGGTATCAGGCGACACGAGTTCATGGGGGCAACTTTACTTGCTATTGTATAGGATAGTTTAGCAATTGTTTTGCAAGCTCAATGGATGTCTGGTTGAAGTGAGTTAATATCCTTCTCCATTCGCACGCATCTAGACCTGAGGGACCATGGCTTCAGGGCTGATTTTCGAACTGTATTGGCGTTTATTTGTTCGAATATAGAGGGTTGGCATGGCATTGTGTCTTCATTTAATTCAGTTATATAGTTAGTGTTCGCTGTTTTGGCTGGGGGGTGTTTTTCTTTCAGGATATTGAGGACTGTTTTTCCTTCAATGACTTCGTTTAGGGGAAGTACTCCTTTTGTTTTCTTGTCTGAAAGGTAGCCAATGGCGGCAGATATTTTGCCTGTACTCATTAGTTTATCAAATTGCTTAGCTTCCTCGTTTACTTCGGACTTCTTCTGTTTCGGATGTCTAATTTGGAGAGCTTTCGCTTCAGTGAAAAGTTCGTCTAATAGGCCTTGCTTCCATAAAAATATGCGGCGGCTCAGTGTTTTGGAATTTGATCCGTTTGTTTCTGATTTAGTTTTGGGGAGCAGTAGATGTGGGAGAATCATTGCTGCTTTCATTGCGACGTTAGAATTTGGTGTCTCTTCTACTAATGACAACAGCTGCTGGTTCAGTAATTCTATGAATTGGAAACCGGGCTTGTTCTTGCTTAGAACTATGAAGCGCGGTTTCCAGTTAACGACATTTTTGTATATGTCATTTATTTTAGTTTTAAGTTCTTGGTCGATAAGTTTCCAGGGGTCGAAGGTGGCTGTAGTGATTGCTGGGGGCGATGGATAAGATTGTGTTGCGTTGGGCAGTGCGTTTGTTTCAGGTGTTGCCGGTGATGTTTCTTTTTGAGTTGTGATGGGGGCTGTGCTTGTTGGTCTGTTTGTGGAATTAGGCCCTTTTGCAAAGTTCTCGGGAGTGCATTGTATGCAGGAGAACCCATCGTAATAAAATTTGCTGCTCTGTAGCCCGCTACATGAGACATGGATGTATACTTTGCAAATGACACACCATATGCCTCCTTTTCGGAGGTGGCGTTTGCAAATATGGCAGTGCGTTTGATCGGCCATAATTTGGCAGCCAGGAGCGTAAATTTATGGTGAATATATACAAGTTAGCTGAGCGAGCAAAAAACTGAAACTTTTATTGCCATAAAAAGAAAAATGAAAACCATCTTTACAAAACATATTAGCACTAAAATTAACGTTCAGATTGGGGGAAATAATTCGAATTCTTGAGTGGTAAAATGTATTAATAAGGCGAAATAAAGAGTTATTTAAAGCACCAAGTTTTCTGTTCATGAAGTGATTATTTGCAGAGAGGATGGTTTTGGGGATAATAAGCACATTTGGGTTAAACTTATGAATTATCAAATTTATTAAAAATCTCCCATCATTAGCAAAGTCTGAAACCGTAGATGAGTTATCATTAAAGCCTGCTACTGTAGTAACACAGTTCAGTTTCTGCGAGGGGTAGCGAGAGACTAGCGGCAAGGTCGGCTAGTTTTGCACCTCTGTACGAGTGAACTGTGGCTCCGACATTTTTGGGGCTGCAGTACTTTGTCCTTGAGGTTCCTATTACCAATTTCCTGCTTCACTTGGGTAGCCACTTCGGCCTGTACTTCGGCACGGACATTCACTAAACAAAGAGACAAAACAAGAGAAAGAATAGATTGTTCAATGGATTGTAGAGAAATATATTTAAAAAACAAATAAAAAAGAAATGAAAGCGATTACAACCTGGTTTTTCACGGGTGGAGGTTCCGGCGGGGATGTCCGGGTAGAGAGGGTGTATCGAGGCTTGACGAGCTTGTCTCTAAAATCCCGTACCGGGCGTTCTTCCATTAAGTGTACCATTATGAGCGTATCATATCACATGAAACTATTTAATAAGTTTATCACAACAATTAGGCTAAATAAACAATACAACCTGGATAAACTTCGTTGTATCATACTTAGCTTCGGAGCGCTAGCGCAAGATCACTATACTAATTGCGAGATCAATTTGAATTGAGTAGTAGATATTATTTAGCATCTAAGTTTATTTATTTATTTATTTGTTTATTCATCATGAGCCATCTAACATTTGATAACAAAATTTACAATTTGCAGATTAGCTCATGATATGACAGCCGGAAGCACAACGAGAGGCTTGTTGAAGGCTGCCCCGTAAAAGTAAATATTAATGACATCATATCAAATCAAATATCTTAATGAAATAAGGATCAAACAGGAGGCCTGTTTTAGAACAATTTAGATTAAGCGCAATTGATTTTAATTCAGTTTAATTTTTTCAAAACTAAGCCAGTAGAATAAAGTGGACACAATCATGTATTTTATAGAGTATGAATTGGTGCAAAAAAGTTTTTAAGTTACCATGAGAAAGACAGCCGGTAATCCAGTCGTCGCAATTTTTTTTCTAATTGCCCTCCCTTGAGTCCACCGTCTGGTCCCCTGGACGATAGGTTTTCCAGGTCTGACCGAGGACTCAGGGAAGATATAAAGAGTTAGATTGAGTCTAATGACACAATTAATTAATCTAAGATGAAATAATTAAGCTCCAATTGGATAAAATATTGATCAATTTAGCAACTTGATGGGAAATGGAGTAATTTCTAAGTTTGCTTCTCATTGCTGGCAAAATGCAACCACCTTTTGCAGATGACTTTGTGGAATAGAAAATTGTTTTACAATTACGCATCGAATCCTTCATTCACACTTTTCTTTAAAAGCTCATAACGATGCACTTCCTAAGCTGTTGCTATTTTATTTTTGACAATTTCATCCCGTATGGAATGACGTGGCTTTTGCAAACAATTTTGCGAAAAAATTATTTTACATTTACGCATCGAATCCTTCATTCACACTTTTCTTTAAAAGCTCATAAAGATGCACTTCCTAAGCTGTTGTTATTTTTTTGACAATGTCATCCCATATGGAATGACGTGGCTTTTGCAAACAGTTTTGCGAAAAAATTGTTTTAGTAACTTATGAATACAATCTAATGCACTTTTAAAGACTGTTCCATACGCAAGATTTCCATATTGAACACAAGACTTAGATCCTTCAGCAGTAAGTTTGTTGTATCTCATCCAGTTATCTAATCGACCTAAAACTTCCTGAAAATCATCGCGAGAAGCGTTTTTGCTTTTATAATTGATGTATCTTCAGCAAACAAAGTAAGTTTGCAACTTTTTGCTTAGGGCAGGTCATTGAGGTATATCATTGATGAACTTAGGCAGGTCATTGATGTATATCAAAAAAGCAGGGGTCCCAAAACGGAATCCTGTGGTGCCCGTCACTGTTAGTCATGAAAATCGCTTAGAATTTCGTTCAAAATTACAAGCTGTTTTCTATTCGCCAGGTAACTTTTAAGAATAACAAGAGATTTCCTCTAACACCATATCGCTCTAGTTTATCTAGTAATATTGCATAGTTTACTGTATCGAAAGCCTTCTTAAGACCCAAAAGGTTCAGCATTACCTCTTTGTTCTTCTGATCTTTCAAGTTTCGAATCTCTTCTGTTTTTTGAGAATGGCTTCAACAGTATTTAATTTACTACGAAAACCAAATTGATTGGCACTGAGCAACATGCAATTTTCAAAATAATTGCTTAATCGGGAATGGATTGCTTTCTCAAAAACCCTCCGTATTGTTGATAACAAAAAAATAGGTCGATAATTCCCTGTCAAATCTTTCAATCCGCCTTTATGAAGCTGAAACTTTTAAGCAATTTTGAGGAAAGGGGGAAAGCAACCACTTATGAAGCAGGTATTGAAGAAAACTGAGAGCCATGGTATGATGATTGGTTTTTATGTTTTAACTATTGCAGATTTGTTACAATCATACCCCGAGCTGAGCCTATTTGGTAAATCTGAGATTATCTGCTCTATCTCTTTTTGTTGAGCTTTAGGGAAAACATTGAAGGCTCAACGTTTTCAAAAAATATATAATCAGCAACTGCGATGTTTTTCTAAGATTTGGACCAATTTTCCTGAAGAAATTTTCAGTTCTTGAGTTTTTCTTTCATTAACTTCGCCAGGTACGTTTTGATCTTTTTGTTTACCAAGATGTGCTGCGACTGCCTTAAGATGTTTATGAGAATCCGATGTTTTTAATTTAGTCATCCAAAATTGTCTCCACGATTTTCTGTTCAACGCATTGGGTTTGTTTCCTAATACTGTGTATTTGATCTTGTTAGGTAGGGTTTTCTATATTAAACCAGTATGCTTGAACATTTTTTATTTGCGGCTTTTTTAAAATCTTTTTATACTCATGACTTCTTGTTGGATACATGGCGAATTTGAGACGGAGCAATTTTATCAATGCTGTTGATAGGAACTTTCAGCGCATTCAAACAATTTGAGTACCATACTGTCAGTTGACTTCAGTTTGGACTGTAAAAGAAACGCTAGTCTTAAGCAAGTATCATCATTGTCGAAACCTTTCAGAACCCGATACGATGTTTTCGCTTTTCGATATTTTCGCTACCATCAACCGATTCAACTATCAACCGATTTCGGCAAAAAGATATTTACTTCAAGCATAAATTGATCTGCAGGACCCCAATGACAATTATAATTAATGTTTATTCCAAAATTACACCAAATATGGTCGATGCAAGAATTTAATTGTGGTGTTACACGAGATGATGATAACAGTTGATAACCAAATGAACTGAACATTTCAGTAGTATCAACCCTTGCGTTATAATTTTTCATCAAACCGAAAGTAAACTTGCCCATAATTGCATGCTTCTTTGTTGACTTGGTTTCGGTGGATCATATCTCCGATCTTCATAGAGGGTTGCCGATATACTTCTGTAAAAAATTGTTACTGTATTTCTTATCTGTCGCTAAAATATCTACCTTCAAAACTTCTCCTTCCGACACCTAGGAGAACTCTACTAGCTAGTTTGTGTTGAGATCCTTTTGTATGTATGAACCCGCTCCAACTCCCCTGCTGGCCCTAGGGCTCGAGAAAAACGTGTAACCTTGTAAATTGAACAAGTCAGTCGAGTCATTAGGACTCAACCAAATTTCAGTGACAGCAATGACACTAGGCGCAGTTGAAAATAGCTCAATGCTTACTATGAAGGATTCAAAACTAGACCTAAGCGATCGCACATTAACATTACGTAAAGAGACAACCTCGGAAACGGGGGGAAACGGTGGTGGGGATATGGGAATGTAGATAGGATGAAATTAGATAATGTACTGAGACAAAACTAGATAGCCCTATTGAGGCTGTCTCAGATAACAAAATGCCCACTGTCTTCTACAGTAAATACACTCGTGGAATTGCTATTCTGAGAAAGCGATTCAGTTTGAGAAGATTCCTTTGTTAAAGTATAATTTTACTGCATAATTTTTTTAGGTTCATTTGTTCTTTTTTAACGTAGTCAAGGATTTTTTGGTCTGACCCGGGACTTGGTGGATTCAACTGTTTTGGAGTTGCGGTGTAGACGTGTAGCCTTTGAGTTGCTTCCTTGCCTGTTAAACCTTGAACTAATTGCTTTCTTTAACCCTTGTGCTAACCTCTTCAGAAGAAGGGACAAGAAGACGTTAAAAGGAAAAGTAAAGTAAGTAGTAGTTATGCTTTACCCAAAGCAAGCAGCGATTCAGCATCTTCAGTGTCAGCCACAATATGAGTGAACACTTTTCCGTTTTCGTGTTGTTGTCTTCGAAGTCGAAGTAAAGAAACTTAACAATAATAGCTGGAGGGTTTTGAGTATCACGGATAGGGCCCAGTGGGTGGCATGCTACTATGGAGTCCCGATGCACATTGATATCAATTGTTTTACCAAAGAAAGCGATTACATCCTCAACGTAATCTGTGCCATGTCGCAAGGGCAAATTGTTGATGATTACGCAATCCTTGGATGGATATCGCTCGAGGTCGTTGACTTCTGTCTTCAGAAATATTATCTCATTTTTCATGTAAGCAATGGTGTTGTTCTGAGTTTGCACATGTGCTAGTAGACTCTGAATTTGATTAATCAAGCTAGAACTTCAAAGCGAGACCGCAAAGCATGGACTAGTTTTTCAATGAAATTCTCTTGTTGACAAACTGGTTCATGCTTTGCGTGCATCATTGAACGAGACGTTAGCTGAAACTTGAGCATGCGTGGTTGGATTAGTTTGATCGAAAGTGCCAAGCATAAAAGATATCTGAAGTTCAAAGAAACTTAAGGTTTTAGTTCCATCTGTTGAGCTCGATAAGTGAAAAAATTAAGAATTTTTTTTCGGTATCCTTGAGCTCATTAAGGTTTCCCAACGGTACTTTGAATCTTTGTATAGAAAAAAGTTCAAATTATTATTTGATTTCGAATATCATTAAATAGTGTTTAAAGACATCTCTTCTAAAAACTGATTGAGGTGCACAGAAACTATGAGTTACTTGTTTTAATTGTAAATTAGACTCCTGAATCAGAAAGACTCAATTCTGTGATTTGTTTATAAATGTTGAAATACCTTATGTAACTGTACAGGTCACATCACAACGCTTCAGCGGACGGACTTGCTAATTGAACAGATGCTATCCGAAGGGGACTTCCCAGGCGCGGTGCAGTTGTGTCTGGAATGTAGACAGGTGGCAGTGTCCTACAGGCAGTACACTTGCATCTCACAGCTGTCGTCTAAACTGGGAGATACGCTGGTCATGATCGAGGAGCAGCTGGACAGGGCACTGGCATCTATTTGTGTGTCTTTTGACGCACCTGTCTATCAGAAGATTCAGATGGCCTTCAAGATGATCGGTTGGTTGAATAAATTGAGCATATTGGAAAGTTTATCAGCTATATTTAAAAGCGATGATGGATTCTGACAGTTATCAAAAGTAAGGTCTCAAATTTTGTGTCGCCAGCTCGCAGGTTATATCAATGAAAGATTTTTTTTTTGCAGGTAAGACCCAGAGCTGTTTGGACCAGCTGAAGATGCACTACTCCAGCCTGCTGCACAACAAGTCCTTCAGCCTGGTCCTTGGATACGCAGTCCTCAATCCGGACACACCCCTGTCGGAGTCCCAGTTCCAGAGGATGCAGTACCAGGAACTATGCACCCACGTCTCGCCCCAGCTGTTCACGGCATGCCTCACAGATCTGTGCAAGACAGTGTGGCAGATACTGCATAGTTACTTCCAGATGTGCGACTGGCATGATGAGAACATGAACATGTTTCAAGATTCATCCACCTCCACTGCCGAATCGGAACATATTGAGTCATTTTTCAAGAAGAAGTTGCACCATGATAGAAACAGAATGTGGCAGGAAGTCCAAACTAAGGTCAAAATATATCTGCAGAGTATTGATTTGTGCCAAAATTCGTCTGATTTCAGTTTCGATGAGCTTATCAAGACGCTGGACATGGTCGACAAATTGACTATAATCGGGCATCAGTTCTGTCAGAGTTCTTCAGTTGATCTGCAAGAGTGTATCAAACAGCAAAGTTCCGCTTATTTCAAAATGTATCATCGAAAATGCATGAGTGAACTGAAACTGTTCTTAGAAACTGATGTGTGGGAACTGTGTCCTATTAAACAAGACTTCAAGCTATCCGACCTACATGACTTTCATTTCCTTGAAAAAACCAAAGATGCTTTTTCAAACAGCACAGATTCGTCAAGTTCTGTTTCAACGGCTGCTGCAAGTGACGCACAAAAGAAGGCTAAAGAACGCTTGTTCTTCAAACCTGATTCTGAGAACCCGTTTTCCATTAGCATCAATGGAAGTGGGAAAAAGCAGGAGAATATTTTAGCCGACGTTGACGAAGACGGGAATACTGACATTACTGACATGTTCTCGGATTCGGACGACGATGTGGCACCCGAGTTGCGCGCCGACTACATCGACGAGATTTCGGGAGAAGTTTTTATGAGATCGGCTACGAGTGGTCTCGTGCCCATGAATGGAAAAGTCTGTAATGGTATACCGACCAGACCCTCTTTCGGCTCGTCTAGCCGAAAATCATATAATCGCCAGTTGTCGACCAGTAAAGTACCACTCATTACAAATACAACGTTGAGTGTTTTGCGCTACTTTGGAAAGTATATGCAAATGATGTCTTTGCTTAAACAAGTGGCGTTCGATGTTTTAATTTGCATGTCTCAGCTTTTCGACTATTATCTATTCACGGTTCATGAAATGTTTGTCTTTAAAAACACCAACCCCAAAATGTATTCGCACAAATTGAAAACACTTCTAGAACGTATTAGAGCTAACCTTATTCTACAACACCCATCGGCACAACAATCCTCTGGCAACTCCCTCCACCCATCCAGCAATCCTACTCCGGTGGCCTCGCCAGCTGCCAACTTGCCAGCACATTTGACCCACCACTCAGGATCTCAACAGAGCCAGCACAGTACGCCTGATAAAGACAAGTTTCCTCCTGTGGAACCAACGGAGGAGCTATTGAATGACTCGTCAGCAAATTTGTACAGTCTGTCAAAAAGAATGATTGCCTGTGAATCTGTCGTGTTCTTGTCGCAGCAATTCGAGGTTAACAAAGTTCAATAAACAAGGGCAATGATGCAGGGGTGGATTAATACCCCTTTGGAATTATTTTATGACATCCATTTTGGCTGACCAATCTCAATATTTCTAGTTTCGCTGTCAATATATTTTACTTTAACTTGAAAGGGAGCCCGCGCCGATGAAACGCTTTTTTTGTCAAAATGTTCACAAAACCGCATTTCTGACCTGTTTTTTCCAAAACTTGCGTGCGGCGCAAAAGTTTTGGTCAAAACAGTGTTTTTAGTCTTGATAATGTTGGTGTGTTCAGAAAATTAATTTGGTTGACCTAAAAAAAGGTCGACAAACTTTTTTTTTTGAAAATCCGCGCACTCCTCGAAAATCCTAGATCCGCCCCTGCTATGATGCTATTTTTTAACAGTAATATGTTTTTAAGTTGATTTCTACATTCTAATGAAAAAATGTGTATACGAAGATCAATAAAAAATGCATCTTCAAATAACCAGCAATAACACAGCAATACTTCTGATTTCGATCTTGGGATCAATTTTTAAAATCAATGCTTCCCTGTTGGTTATCTCAGACTTGCAATGTATTCAAATAATTCAATTCAATGCAAATTGCGCTTAAAAGGTACCTTGCCGTGGATACATTTAATCGGACTCTATAAACATCGCTAACGTAGCAAAAGCAATCATTGGTAAAATAGAAGATGTTTAGTTGTTTGTTTATTTCAGAATCTGAGGAGCACTCTGCAAGCCAACATCCCCTCAAACAAGGTCACCTTCCTCAACCAGTTCTTCGTGCAGACTATGGCCACGTGTGTGGATTTGCGAGTGCCCATCTACCAAGGAGTGGCATCCAGGGCGATCAACTACCACGCCCTGCTGGCCCAGATGGCACAGGTGAAGTGGGATCTGAAGGAGATCACCAGTCAGCAGAGTCCATACGTCGAGTTCATCCTCAGCGAGTTCAGAAGTCTCAAACAGACGCTGTCGTAAGTTAAAATAAAATAAAAATCGCGAAACAGAGTAGAGCGAAGTGTTAATAATTACGACCAGCAAGAAGCTGCTAAAATTGAGAAAATGAAAGTTGCATTAGGAAACCACGGTTATGACGCCGAATAGTTTTAGGCCCTGCTTGAAGTATCTGCTGTTACCAGAATCATTAGTTATCGGCTAAAATCGGAGAATGAAGCTTTTTTGAATTCCGTGTCTCCATTTTCAGGTCTCTCTCTCGTGAGGTGCCCTTTAACAAGGTGGCTTTGCAGATGCTCCTGGAGCACTGTCTCAAACTGACCTCTTGGGCCTTCATCGAGGGATACTCCAATGTGAAGAGATGCACCAATGAGGGGCGCGCACTCATGCAACTAGACTTCCAGATTTACTTGGTCGAAATAGCAAAGGTAGCCTCTCTTTCAATTGTTTCCTCTAGTTAAACGCAGGTAAGATTTATATATAGGTCATGATGATTTTTGTTTCAGGAAGTCTTAAAATTTCTTCAGGCTCAAATTTACTTTTTCGCGGTTTTACTTTTGATGTATTTTAAAGTTCATTTCATTTCCTTCGTTAAAAGGAAGGCAAACTCCACTGTCGAACAGCAAAAGTGAAAATGTCACGAAAAACGTGATTGAGTGCTATATTTACTCTTGTGAAGCAAGTGTATTTGTACGCACGCACCGTCTTTTTTTCAACCTAAGTCGCAAATTAAAAAAAACTACTTTTGTTGGCATTTTGAGTCGGTTGGCTGCGGTAGCAGTATAATGTCCATGTGCTTTGAAATTTGATTGGCAAAAATTTAACACAGTTGATGCATTTTTAATTCATCAAGTGAACCGAAAAAAGTTAATTGTTTCAAACAGCAGTACAATGATAAAAAGCTCGGTTTCAGAAATTTTCCAACCCAATGTATCTCGCAATTTTTTGTAAATTGCATAATTTATACATAATTTGGCTTTATGCTTTCCGATTTTTTTCATGCAAAATTGTGTCTTTGTATTTGGTACCCATTTTGCGGTATCGAATTGGCAATTTATTAGCATATGAAACTTGGTTATTAGTGGCTAATTTTGGGGTATTTAAGCATCAGTGGCTGAATGGTTAGTGCGTGAGACTCTAGTTGCAAGGGCGCAGATTTGAATCCTATACCTGTAGCCGAGTTTTTGCTTATTCGAGGCTTATTTCTATTTATACTTATTTCACTTGATAGAGCTGCTTTTTTGGTCGTTTTCTCGCAAATGTTTGCAAAGCGCAGCTTCGCCTCTGTGTCAAATGGTTTTTTCCAAATGGCATAAAAGTGAAAATTTTCCCAAATGGTATAACTTATCAGCTTTCACGCTTGCCATCTACTAATATTTCTTTTTTTACTAGGAGCTTAAACACATATTCGGAAGTAATTGCTTCTAAACAAACGTTAAGTGACAATTTTGCCGGAAAAATTGATCAGGAGAAACTAACAGCAAGATTATGCATCTGATAAGAGTTTTTAAAACACATTTCCAGAAAAATTGTCAATTTACAGTTAATTAATAACTGTACTAGTTTTCATACCTTGTTCACAAAATGGTTCTCATGAAAATATGTTTAAATGCAACGGTTGCATAAAATTTAACTATAAGTTCGGCTCAGTTGTCACAACTTGAAATTGTTTTTTTTTGCTGCGTGCATTTTTCCTCTATGTTGCTTTTGGTGTTTTATTTACTCCTACAATTTGTAATTTACTTACCTTGACTTACCTTCGCTTAAAAAAATTCCTCGGCCCGAATTATTTCGGCTTATTTTTTTATGGTCATAATGACCTAATTTTGGGTCGTTTCAAAGAAAACACAGCTTGAACACTCTCCTCCGCACCTTTAATGTTGGTTGTGTGTTTACCAATTGGTTTGTTGAAATTTCTTCTTTTTTTCATTATAGAAAATTGTTTCCAAATTCATTGCAAAAGTTGCAGATTTTTCAGAAACTTCTACTGATTTTTAAAACCGAGTATTAAATGAAAGACCGCCTACTCCCCTGTGTTTCTCTATACTCCCATAGGGACTGTTTTCCTTCTGTCTATAGTCTTCGAAAAAGTCTGTGGGGGAATATTTGTCTTTGTATTTGGAAACAATTTGATTGGGCGTAGCCGCTTATGACCATTTGACACAGAGGCGAAGCTGCGCTTTGCAAACGTTTGCGAGAAACGACCAAAAAAGCAGCTCTATCAATTTGAACTGCATATATATTTTTTTGTTTTCTCAAAAATAACCCTCCCAAATCTGAGTTATTGGTTTTAATGAATAGAACGGTTTTGAAAACCCCCCTGCATAAGCGGCTACGCCCAATTTTTTTTACACAAGGTTATGACCCTCTGAATAGTCAATTTTTTTACTTTGACTGGTTTTTAAACTTTTTGATTATTCTCAAAAAATACCCAGCCATATTTGAGATTTTGGGTTCAATTCAAAGAGCGGTTTGTGGTAAGTTCATTTCCTTACGCGACTTTTTACACATTTTTTGACACCAAAAGTTGTGGCCCTCGGAAAAGTCAAAATTTTGATTTTTTGACGTTTTGAAAGTTATTGACATTTCTCGAGAACTACACTTCCAAATCTGAGATTATGGGTTCAATCAAAATTACAGTTTGAGTGAATCCCTTCTGCATAAGCGGCTACGCCCTAAATTTTCACACAAAAAGCTATGATTCTCAGAAGTGTCAAATTTTTGATTAGTTGACAGTTTTTTGGACTTTTCTCGCTGTCCAATCTGATATCATACTTTAAATCAAAACAACATGTTGTTGAAAGCCTAACTTTATAACTGGCTATACCCAGTTTGTTTAAGAAAAAAGTTATGGCCTTCAAGTTGAATTTTCGTAAAATTTACACAATCAAATCTGAGATGAAAGTTCAACTGAAAGAACCGGTTGCGATAATGGTTCCTGCAGCCGTGGCGGCTGCTTAATTTTTGTAAGAGAAATGTTTTCTTCTTGAGAGAATTGATTGTCTCGAAATTTTTTACTCCTCTCACTTTTTTAAGTAGAGAAACAACTAAAGTTTTGGGCAAAGTCCAATGTTTTAATTCAAATTTTTCGTGCCGCATCAGTATAGCAAATTCATTCAATATCAAACACATACCTGTAGCTTTAGCTGGGCCCTTAGTTGTTTTTTTATCTAGACATGCAAAAATTTCGGTTCGCCTAGTTTTTTCAACATTTTAAGTTATTTTCGACTTAAGTTTTTTTAATGTTTGTGTTGTATCGCAAGTGGTGCGAAGCTCTGTGTACAATTTTTTAGTCTTTGCTGGAATTTTGTTTCTTATTATATGTGATAAATTGTGCAACTGTTTTAGATCACCGAGATCCAGCCTGTTCCAGACCAGCATTTCGTGGAGACGTTCATCAAGGCGTTCTACCTGCCAGAGATCGAATTTGAGAAGTGGGTGTCGGAGCACCAGGAGTTCTCACCCAAACAGCTTTTATCCATCATCAACAGCGCCGGATCCCTCCAGGTTAATCGGGACTAATTTATCTCTGAGACCCACGCTTACTGCCCACATGTATGTATGCTTAGTCTAGATGTGTGTTGATCAAAAGGGAATCCGTGGTAAGATGTGGTCATCTTTCCCATGAATCCATTTAATACTTGCTTAGCCAATATAGGGAACTACGTTGTAAGGGAGATGCACTTAAATTTCATTACATTTGCTCGCTATACTTTCCTTTGTGATAGGCGATAGTTGATCTTTTAAAAGCATCGGGTGTTAAAAGGTAAACAAGAAGTTGAGACAGAAGCTGCAGAATGTGATTGAGGAGCAGCAGAAGTTGAGTGGTTCCAACAATCATTCCAACTCCACCAATGCAACAGCAAACAACCACGCCCAGTTCAACTCCCATTCTTCTATTCTCCTCAGCCAGATATCCTCGCATTCCAGATAAAAACACACCGTTACTCAAAACAAGATACATAACGCAAGTGAAGTACTATTACAAAAAAAAGAAAACAGAGGATTTTGATGTCCGAGCTGTTCTGAACTTGGTACAAGTATGATATCTGAACTTGGTAAAGGAATGATGAAAAATATCTATGTTGCTACAATACGTGTTGTTCTCTCACGAAAAATTGAATTGCCTCAGAAACTTTCACAGTTCACAGTTCCTTCTAGCCGCAACTGTCTTTCTTGTACCCTGAATCTTGCGTTTATCACAGTTCCTTCTAGCCGCAACTGTCTTTCTTGTACCCTGAATCTTGCTTCATCTTAAGATATTTTCCAACTCATTCTCTAAAAAATGCGATATTTTTTTACTTGTCTGTGGCAACGTGGGAATTATGATCGTTAATTCAAAAAAGCCCATGTTTGAACGGTTCGTTTTGAGGCTAAACATGAATTATCCTATATTTTCACATAATCTGTGTTTGGCGGCCATATTGTCTCACCATAGTTCGAGTTGCATTTTTCTAACTCTTGGTTGATAGCTGGGGTGTTTTCTGTGATATGGCTCAAAACTGATTGTTTTTATATTTTGAAAATTGGATCATAATTCTCGAGTCTGATTTATTGAAATTAGTTTAGCGAAAGGAAATCTGGATATTCAAAAAAACAGAAGCTTGAAAATTGAAATTTTGGGCCTTATAACAGAAAAGTACCGATAGCTGTCTATTATCATTTTAAGTCTCTATACAACATATGCAGTTTTTTAAGTTTTACCGTAAGTCTAAATGACTTTGCTAAAGAAAAGTAGGTAGATTGGTAAATCACCGACAAAACATTTGGCAGTAGAATTTATATGAAGCATTCCCAAAAATTGTACTCAACGATTATATTGCTAATTCCACGATATCTTTATTGTATCTTGTCAGATTCTGTGTTTGTGTGTATAATAGCTACAACTTTGCAATTTATTATAACTCAATTCAAATCTCAGCTCTATGAATTGTATATTAAAACAGTAGTTGAAGTTGCCAATTGAAACATTTTTCTTACAAATTTTCTTTCTTGAAGAATCTAGGAACATTTTGTGGATACTTGGTAAGTTTTTTTTTACATGTTTCCTTTTTTCGCATGGGGTGCGACCCCTCCCCCTGCCTGAGTTATTGTATAATGACGCGAAGGCACTTTTACACAAAAGTTTATTGTTGTTCGGCCAGAAATAGGTGTCGTAAAATAGTAACAAAGGGGTCTTTGGGTTGTAAGGTTGTCAAATGCCTGGATTGTATAACGAATGAATTATAGGAAGCCGTTTTATCCTGCGTAATTTTATCTTTGTTTCATTCCATTTGACGATTCAAATAGCGTGAGATACATCGTCTTCATAAGTGAACATTAAATGCTGCTCTTATATAGGTCGTGATGATTCTTTTTCAGGATAAGTCTTAAAATGCTCTAATATTTTACAGATGTGCATTCATACATATCAATGCATTTAAGAATGCTTCTTGGCATGTATGCACTATTTGTGTTCAAGTCAATTTCAGCTGCTAAAAGTCAGGTAAGTCTCGCTTTCCAATTTCGAAAGTGTAAAGACCACAAAAAACTTGATTGAATTCTAGTTAGGAAAATTGGATTTAATTTTCAGATTTCCTAGCGGAATAAAATTTTTATCTAAAGATTTAAATTGGGTAAATTTATCAAAAAAATATCAATCATAAATAGTTCTTGAAATTCAAAGAGGCGTTAAGCCATACTTTTGTACTTTGAAGTTGTAATGTTAAGTTTTCTCAACAAACAAGTCAGTTTTTCTTTTTTGTTTCCTTGTGATCTTTGACTCTTTTTCAACTCTTGGCTATGTTTGTTTTTACTGGACAAAATTGATAAAACCGTTAAAAAGCAATCTTGACTGATTCGGAATTTTGTCACCAAATCACTTTCGAGATAGCATCTTTATATGGTTATTTTTTATAGCCCATATTTAAGTGGAGACTTAGTTAGTTAGTGTGGAACTGGTGCTCAATTTTTGTTCAACTAATTGTTCCGACTGTCGAAGAAAAGATGGCATATTCATGCTCGGTGTTTTTTAGTTCACACAAATTTTTGCTTTTAAGCTGATGATTTCTGAACGAAGTTTTTATACCATCTTAAAGGTATTGACCTCCTGAGTTCAAACTTAAAATTTTTTTTGCCTGTGATCAACTTTATTTACATTAACAGTTTTGCTAATTTAAGAAATGAACAAGCGATATATATTGCGTGCGATTAATTTGGAAGCGGCGATTTAATCCGGCTCAGAAAACACTCTAAATTGTCTTGAGATAAGCTATCTGGATTAATTTTATTATCACATTGTTGCAAACTAATTACATCACTTCGTACTGAACATGGCGGATGGAGGGAAGGTAAACAAGCTGAAAAAATTATCATATTATACTCCATAGACCTTAAGGAGAATCAGGAAGATTCCAAAATTTGTTGCGCCATTTGACCGGCAACTGATTTTACAGTTAACATAGATTTTTTCTTACTAAGTTACGTGAACTTACATCAAGATGATCACCGTTTTTTGGTTCGACAATTTTGAATTGTGATTGGGAGAATTTTTTAGAGTAATGAACTTAGTGAATGCTCTTATATGATGCCTTGCTGCTTTTTTCTTAGGGAAAAGTCCTAAAATTTATTCACTCTCAATTTTGACTTATCGTGGTTTGAGTTGTGATTTCTTTTTAAGTTCAGTGCATTTCTTTTAATAAAAAGAGGGCAAACTCCTCTATCGAACAGCAAAGTTGTAAAAGTCACGAAAAGCGTGATTGACTTCTTATTTTGAAAAGGGAAATTATTTATCAGATTTCCCAGCGAAATATAAGTTGTACCTATTGATCATGTCTTCTCAAATTGCGTTTATTTCAACATAACAGTGTCCACCACAAATTGTTCTACAAATTCAAAGAGCTTTGAGGTCATCTTTTTAGATTTTTCAAAAGTTGTAGATTTTTGAAAACACAAGTCGGTTTTTTTTTGAAAACACAAGTCGGTTTTCAAAAGTTGTAGATTTTTGAAAACACAAGTCGGTTTTTTTTTCAGTTTCCTTGCGTTCATTACTCTTTCCCAACTGTCAGTTGGGTATGTTTTCAGTTTTTCAGACCAGTTGCTCAAGTTCAAAATCATTTCATCTAAGTATCGGCCAGCTATTTGAATCCAAGAAACTTCGCATTTCTTGTGAAAGTTCTTCATTTTTCTTCCGACTTTCGAAAAATTGTGCTTCGCGTGGTTTTTTCTTCAGACATACTGAACTCAAATTCCTAAATTTTTTGAATATTTTGCTATGAACTCACAGTTTTTAATAAAGTTTTTAACTGTCAGCTATTTGCCATTATTTTACCATTATTTTACCAAACTTTTACCATTATTATTTTACCATTATTTTACCAAATTTTTACCATTATTTTTTACTTTGCCGTAGGGGGGGGGGGTGGTATTTCAGAAACGTTGACAAAAAGATGAAGAAAAATTTTTACCACAATTGTTATCGTGCAACTTATTCCTCAAATTTTAAGTTAAAATAGTTTTTTTTCTTCATTTAGTCAACCAAAAACTATGCCAAAAGTATTGGGTCGATTGGCTCAAAAATTCACATCAAAGTGAGCTTGTATGCAGCCCAACAAAGTAGGTTATTTTTTCTCAAAAGGGTATTACTACATAAAATGCCAATTTTTGAGATAAAAATAATTTTTGAACGTTTTGCGAAAATTTTGAGAGAATACATTTATTAAAATTCGTTGGAATACATAAGAAGCTCATTTTTCATCAATTGAATCAAAAGCTTTGGCGTAAATTTCTAAATATTTCACCAAATTAATTCTGCTAAACCTCAAGTTTTGCTTTTATAGATATTTGCTAATAATTACCCAATTTGAGAAAAAAGCGCCCAATTTGAGAAATAGAATCTAATAAATGCTTTTTTTTATAACAGGTAAAGAAAAAGTGATAACCTAAAAAGACGAATTCTGCCAGTGTGGCTTGATATTTTTCTGCATGTGAATTTGGACACTATTCAAAACTCCCTCGATCCGGTAAAATATTGGCTATATTTCTACCGGAGCAACTATGTCCCAGTCAACCGGTATTTTTTGGTTGACCTTTTCGGCATTCGAATGAAATAATTTAGAATGAACCCGCGTGCATTCTGTCTTAATATTTGATAAACAAAATTCTTTTTTTTTGCTATTTATTATAATTGATGGCCGTGAATAATAAATCATTGCTCTCATAACCTAACTGGCTAATATTGATCAAAATGATTGCCCATAAAAAAACAAACGTCATCATCTTGAAGCGTCAAGTAGCCCTTGAATTAGTTCAGCGGTAGCAAAAAATAAGGGGCCGTCAATTCAAGAAACGTCAAATAACATTCAATCGAGGCCTATAATTAATTTCACCTGCACCTATAGTTCTGCATGTTTGACGAGGCGAAACGATCTTATTCATGATTTTTTCTGTGCTAAAGCGTCGAGGCGGCTTCCTCCTTGTTTTCCAATGAAGCTTGATTTTAATGCAAATGAACAAAATCTGACCCTCGCTTCTATTAATGTGCCATTTAATCTATACAAAAAAGCAAAACACTGTGAAATTGTATTTTAAATGGTTAAGCCTTCTGATTAATGACTGAATGATTTATTTCATTTTATTTTTTACCTGTTATGTTGCATTTTGTTGCCGAAATGTAATTGTTCCTGAATTTTATTTTAAAAACTTCATTGAAATCCATTCAAGAGGACGCGAAACGAAATTGCCAGAGCAGGAATTGTCAAGATTTTCAAATCGTTTTAAACTGTATGCGCTCTTTTTATTTTAAACGATTAACTTCGGTTTCGGCCTCCGGTTTGGTTGACTGAAAAAAATCATAATAAGTTTTAAAAAAATGATCACAACCAGGAATCGTAATTCTTGGCATATTCAGCTTTCCGGCGATTCCGGTGAAAAATTTGCGTTTCCGGCAAAAAAGAGTGTTTTTTGATCATCAGTTTTTGAGAGATTAAGCCAACGTTGTATTTTTTAAACATCAGTTTTACTAACTTCCCCCTCTAAAATGTGGGGTCGGTTCAAAACGTGGTCAATTAAGACAGAAAACTTCGCTCGAAAAACAAATAAAACTAGCCTAGATTTCAAAGCAATCATGAAAGCAAACTACAGCTTTTTTATTTGGAAAAAAGAAAAACAAGCTGAGTCATTGCAATTATCACTTGAAACTAGAAGGGTTCCCCTTTTCGCTTTAATTTCCCAATTTTAAAAGTTCTGTATTCGGCGCAAACTGGTATACTTTTAGCACTTTTCGGCATTTCGGCTGGGCCGAAAATTACGATTCCTGATTACACTGGACAAAACTTCATGCGGCTTCCTTACTTGGAGCATTACAGTATATACTTGACAGGCTTCCTCGTGAAAAATGAGGTGGACTCTAGGCAGCTCGGTGGTTTTTGTGGAATTTCTGACTGAGGAGATTTTATCATTTTTTCAGAAAAACGCAGCATTTTTTTTTCAAAAAAGCACTTGCTATTAAATGGGATAGATGATTTTGCGTGTATTTCATTTGAGGTTTACTATTTGGATAAAGAGAGAACCGACCTTACACAATACTACTTTACCTCTGATTTTCTAATCAGATCCGGCGATAGAATTTAAATTAAATTTCAGTTATCTACTTGTTTCCTCTCCACCTCAAGACGCACGCAATCAGTCTATTCTTACTCTCAAAAACCGCCCCTTGTTTTCATTATTCGACCTGAAAACGTGTATTGAATTCATGAGCATTTTTTGCTCCGTTTTTGCACAGACTTATCATGTCTAGATGGTATAACGCTTAGTTAAGCTAAGCAATCGTTTTAAGTTAAAAAAAACAGAGACTACGCGGTGTATTAATTTTTAAAACTATCATAATTTATTCAAAGCCGATATAAAAGTCGCAAGAATTCACGAGCGCATGAACAATAAAATTTACCATTATTTGACTGCTTTGTGCGCGGATTATATAATTGACAAAGCTAGGTAGCTGTTTTATATCAATCGTGTTTTAGCTGGCTCCCGGGGTTGCACATTTGGTTGGATAGACTTTAAAATCGCTTATCTTCGCACGAATACCAAACAGTGCTTTTTAGAAAGCAGCTAAAACCAATTCAAAAACGTTGAAGACTTGAGTTTTTTAGAGAACCGTCTGTTTTATAGTATTTGAAAGAGATAAAAGCTCTTTTCAAGTCGGTGATTTTTTAAAAGACTAACGTTTAAAAAGATATCAATCTATATATATATATATATATTAGTTTATTGTACAGAGCAATAATCATCAACATTTATGTTACTATCATAAAAAAATTGTAATTATCAGTCCTTTCAAAGAAAAACGTGGACGATTGTTTTTTTTTTCTGATCGAGGAAGTTTTGTTATTGAATTATTCTTCATTACTTGATTATATGAGACCAGCTTGATCATGATGTAAATATAAATCAAATTCGTCAATTATCTTTCATTATTTTGGCTTTACCCTTAACAATGGGTCAGGTTCTCTCGGAGCCCATCACCACTAAACACACGACACTGCATGAGAACTCCAATTTGAGGGTAGCCTCATCCGCCATGCAAGGATGGAGAACAAGTAAGACCCGCTTTAAATAACATATATACAAGTAAACAAAAATAATAGCACTTCTGTTCTTCAGGACAAATTCAACTTTTTGCTTAAGAACTTTTACCGGCACTTTTAAGTAAACTGAAAAATTTTGACCTCCACCTTGAAAATATATTTCGTTTAGAATACATTTTCAAAAAGAATAGTGGGTTCACCTTGAAAATATATTTCGTTTAGAATACATTTTCAAAAAGAATAGTGGGTTCACCTTGAAAATATATTTCGTTTAGAATACATTTTCAAAAAGAATTAGTGGGTTCACCTTGAAAATATATTTCGTTTAGAATACATTTTCAAAAAGAATAGTGGGTTCACCTTGAAAATATATTTCGTTTAGAATACATTTTCAAAAAGAATAGTGGGTTCACCTTGAAAATATATTTCGTTTAGAATACATTTTCAAAAAGAATAGTGGGTTCACCTTGAAAATATATTTCGTTTAGAAAACATTTTCAAAAAGAATTAGTGGGTTCACCTTGAAAATATATTTCGTTTAGAATACATTTTCAAAAAGAATAGTGGGTTCACCTTGAAAATATATTTCGTTTAGAATACATTTTCAAAAAGAATAGTGGGTTCACCTTGAAAATATATTTCGTTTAGAATACATTTTCAAAAAGAATAGTGGGTTCACCTTGAAAATATATTTCGTTTAGAATACATTTTCAAAAAGAATTAGTGGGTTCACCTTGAAAATATATTTCGTTTAGAATACATTTTCAAAAAGAATAGTGGGTTCACCTTGAAAATATATTTCGTTTAGAATACATTTTCAAAAAGAATAGTGAGTTCACCTTGAAAATATATTTCGTTTAGAATACATTTTCAAAAAGAATAGTGGGTTCACCTTGAAAATATATTTCGTTTAGAATACATTTTCAAAAAGAATAGTGGGTTCACCTCGAAAATATATTTCGTTTAGAATACATTTTCAAAAAGAATAGTGGGTTCAAAGTTGACATTTGATTAATTTGGAATAGTTATTACGCGCAATATTTGATTTTTTTTTTCATTTAGGCGCTGAAAAAGCGGTAAATTATGCCAATCTGTTGATAATTTTCATCATTTTGATTGAATAATGTGGTAGCAGATGAAAAAAAAAATGTATACTTCTCGAGAAGATTTTTAAAAAATTGAAAAAAAAACGATTTTTGTTTTCAACTGAACCAACTTTACAGACCTTATTGTGCAGCCGGGACAATTTTTTATAACACTGCACAAAAACGGAAAAACCAGGACAACTCCTTTTCGTCAATGTGAAATTAATTCTTCATCGTACTGAGCGTAATTTTTTAGCCTTCAGAAATAATATTTTACATCAGAGGTGCTACTTCGCATCTTGATTCATTCATCATTGGTTGAAATGATCTTGGAGAGAAAGCTAAACATGATTTTTTTTAGAAAAAATTCATCATAAAACACACTGCTGCTCAAGGAATTTAATAAGCGCAGCAAACGTTTAAAATATTGACTTGTTTCATTTAGATTCGCTTTTTTGCCTCGTGACTATGTTAACGAAAACGGCAAACTAACTATTGCATGCAAAACTTTTTAGAAGTGAAGGCTCAAGAAAAAATTTGAAAACAAAAAAACGAAGGCAATGAAATAAATTAGCAAAAAAATAGCTGAAATTTTTTGCAGGTTTTAAATACTGTTAAAGAGTACTACAAATTTTTACACGGTTTCACTATACAGTAATTGCTTAAATTTTTGTTTCAGTACTTTTTCGATTATTTCGATGTTTACAATATTATTTTCAGATGTTAGAAAAGTTTGTAAAATCCACCAAAAATAAAATATGTAAACGTTTTTTGTAGAAAAATTACAAGAATTTTGCTTAACGTTCTTTGAAGAAAAATTACAAGAACTTTGAACATAAGGATTTGAATTCAACTAAACACGTTTTTATTTTTCGTTTTTTGCTTTGCACGCACAATCAGGTAACACAAATAATTATTGGGTTAAGTCGATTGACATATCAAACTGACGTTTTCTCAGTTGTAGTTTGAACGAAATTGCAAAATTTCAATAAAAAAACTGCCAAAATTCAGAAAACTGGACTGAAATTTTTAAGTTTTTGTCTAATTTGTCTAATAAATAAAAACTGGTCTTTTAGGCTCGAAGTTTGATTTTACTGCGCCAAAGTTACTTATGGTAGCTTCATTTAGCTTTTTTTGGCAATAAAAGTTTTCTGAAGTTTTGAAAAAAATCTTTGTGCCTAAGAAATTAGAAAAATTCATACACATATTTTAAAAAAAATTTCAAGTTTTGTTTGTTATTCTTATTGTGAATTCAACTGTTGACATTTGTGCTTAAGCTATTAAACTTCCTCGCATGTGTATAGTATTCCCATTACATCACGCACAATAAACAACACTAATTTGAAAGATTTTTTTGAAGTTTTTTATGATTGTGGTTTGAGCTTTCTGTGCGACTGTACAGCAACCGGCCATCCGTGTTTTCATTTAGAACGACTCCAATTATCTTGAATTATGACTATATTCGCCGTTTACTATACGCAAAATACAGCTGGTCTTAGTTAATTCAAAATGATTAAATTCTCTGCTTTCAAACACCCATGATTCCACAAAAAACTATTGATAGTTTGCATTTTTGTTCCGACTTTTGAAACGAAAGTAACGGAATAATTGTGCTCGGGGTGGGTTTTTTTTCTTCAGACAATTTTTGACTTTTTAACTTGCCATTTTTGACGGAATTTTTTATATCTTACAAAAGCTATTGTTGTCCTGAGCTTAAATTTGAAAAGATAATCCACCTGTTATCATTTTTTGTCAAGTTATGGGGGTTTAAATTTTGGCCAATTTGGGTTATTTAACGCGCGTTATATTTTGCGCTATTAACGCGTAAGCGGAAATTTAATCCATCTTAGAAATTGTTCCAAATTGGTTGAAATAAATTTATTTGCCATAATTGATTCGTTACAAGGAGCAAAATCCTTTTGCACTTTATTTGGCGTGTGGGGGATGATTTTCACAAAAAAATCTCAAGTTTTAGAAAAAAATCATTTGATTTGATTACATTTAATTTTTTTATGTTATTTCTGCTCCATAAACCTTAAAAAGGCAGTCGGAACATGCAGGGCTTCGCCCTGATACGAGCATTCTTGTTTACATTTGCACTCAGGGAACAAATATATAAATTATATCTTGGAAATTGGTAATTAAAAAAGTCAATATTATAAAATAAATTATCCCAATCGATCTTTTTCATTATTCTGTGAAAGTCGAAACAAAAAGACATTCAGAGATAGTTATCATGTTACGTAGATAAAATTGAAGAGCACGAAACAGAAAGTTTATCTCAATATATCTAAGCGTTCAAAAGATTAGACAGCCACGTCTAAAGTGATTGTTTTACCGAAACTATCATTGCTTAAAAACAAGGATTTACTACAATATAGATCAAATTTCAGCTACTAGAAAAATCACATTCTTCTCTAAATACTTATTCGGCTTTGAACAACGACGCTGTCTAATTTAGCGATGGAGGATGCTCACACGTGTATGATGTCAATCAAAGAAGACCCCGGCAGCCAATTCTTTGGGGTATTCGACGGCCACGGAGGCACAAAAATAGCCCAGTACTCATGCAAACACTTACCCCACAGAGTATGCTCCAGACTAGAATACAGTTAGCTGGATTTGAATTATTTTCTGAGTTAAGCGCTAAAAAAGGCAAGCTTTGTTTCCATAAATAATCTTTGAATTAACACTGCATTGAGTCTTGTTTGGGCAAAAATTCTCAAAACTACATAATTTCATAAACCGGTTCATGATGCAAATCTACTCCTGAAATTTGTTTTTTTTCAGAAACTGGGCAAGTAGAGAGTGCAGCAAAGAAAGCTTTTCTGGATCTGGACAAGGAGATGATGACGAATGCGGAGCTAGCCAACGACTTCTCAGGATCCACTGCCTGTTGTGTCCTCATCAGACAAAACAAACTATACTGCGTGAGCTCATACCCATTTTTACTTCAAATCACTGTTGTATGCCACCTTTTGGACAAAAAATGTTATTAAAAACGCTTTTTGTCTGGTTTCATTCTGAATGTTTCAGCCCATTTAGTATATAGACAACATTTTTTTCTATCAGCTTCACCAGATTAATCCTTCAAATATCCTCCTGCTCAGAAGTAATTAAATGTTATAGATGAATGTTGGCGATTCTCGAGCGATCGCTTCCATAAAAGGTCTGCCTTTGTCTCTATCCTACGACCACAAGCCGAACAACATCGGAGAACAGACTCGGATTGTGAAGGCGGGTGGCTTTGTGGAACTTAACCGAGTGAATGGAAACTTAGCTCTGTCCAGGGCTCTGGGAGACTTCTCTTTCAAAAGGAATCTGAAGAAACAACAGGATGAACAAATTGTATCAGGTATAACTTATAACAGTTATATGTTCTTTGATTCGAAGAAAGGAGAAGTTCACAAAATTATCCAAAAAATCCCATCCTGAAAGAACATCAGTTCTAAGAACCGTAAGTCCGCAAGGTTTTATTTTAGCTTTAAAACTTCTCGACGACCAGAAGTAATTTCCTTGTTAAAATCAATATATCTCTCAATTTTAATAAAATAAATTGGATTTAGATATAAGTTTTTAAGACACTCAGTGTTTTGTTATTACAACGTGTTTTTATATTTTCTCCATAACAGGTATCCATTAGACTGAAAAAGAGCAATGTTTCCATCATACTTTGCAAGTCACCGGTATCAAGAAATTTTGATGATTGAAGCAAATAAAAGTTCCAATAATCTAACTATTCTAAATGCTATAGAAATTTAAATAAAAAAACTGATATAGGAATGCTGTCTAATTTAGTTAAAATACGTCAAATGAAGGTCTCAGTTCAATAGACTTTTAGTGATAGACTAGGCCAGTACTGGTTTCAAATTGATCTTCAAATGGATCTATCTAACAACGAAAACCTATCACAACATTCCCTCTGCTGGGAAAAATTTTAAATCCTTGATGAGAAGATGGGAGTTACTAGCCATACACCCATTTTCCCCTCAAAGTGTGGACAGAGAAAATTTACAAGATACCCCGTCCGCAAAATTTAACACCATCAAATTAATCTAATAGCCCCATTCAAATGAAATGTTTAAAATTATGAGCAGGGCAATTCTAACTACAACAATTACATCAATATATTCGAGTAAATCTAGGGGATTTACTCTAATTAACTAACTACAATTTAATAAAAGGCATCTTTAAGATCGAAACAGATTAAAAGCAGCTTTAAAATGGGTATGAAGTTCGTGACCTTTATATGCTTTATTCTGAAATTAATTGCTTTCCTTTAAAAAGTAGCCTCTTTTGACAGCGGTTTGGCGATTTTCAAATATTCAGGGTCTAGTGTTGAAGAGTTTTTGCTCGTTCTGTTAGCGTTTGAGAATATTAAGTCTGCCAACATTTGCGCAATTGATCCTCTTTTTGTTGAGAGTTCTGTCAACAGTTGTTAAGAGAGGAATTGTCTGAATCTGCGTTGTCTGCGATGAGTGGCCTCTTTTGCAGTTTCCGAATTCGCTATAGATACAAGGAAATTGGAGGCGAAAATGTTGAGTTTGACGGAAAAGTGGGGGTCGCAGTAAGAAGAGTCTGGATCGGATTAGAGTCGCCATCATAGAAAGTTTTACTTTCAACAGAGTCGACAAATCTCGTTAACCGAAGAATTTGCGATGCCCTACGTTTCTCCTCGGAGCTGGAGGGTGTTTGCAATCGCGGCAATAAGATGCTATAAGATGCTCTCTTCCGGACAACTTGACAGATGGATAGGGTTTTAGGCTTTTGCAAGTCCAATTGTCGGATTGGTTTCCACACTCGCCAAAATCTGCTGCCGAAAATTTTCCAGCTCGATTTTTTCTTCGAGTGACAAGTGGGAATGATCAGAGAGAAAATTTTTATGTCTGATCAGTTTCCGTTCACTGACAGTCTTGAAAGACAGTTAGGGTGGTGCTAGGTACTTGGTAAAAAAGACGACGGATTAATAAAACGACAAATAAGAGTGATTAGATGTAAAATGGGCAGTTCGAATTTAAGCGGTTTAAAATTCTTAGAAAAACAATGTTCAGAATTGGTTGTAGCGACGTCTTCAAGTCCCATCAGAAATAGTTGCCATTTTAACGGCTGTCGTCTTATTTGTTTGTCACCAAACGGGGCTACAGTTTTTAAAATCAACAGATGTTGCCCTTGTTTGTTTTTTTTCCTGATAAAAAAACGTTCACCAAAAAATTTTCAATCTTGGTTTTTAGAAGAAACAAATGTAAACTCCTTTTGTTTAATTGGTAATGACCAGAAAATGTTAAAACAACCCTTTCGCGTTTTCGATTTCTCAGAAATGTATTTTGTCTAAAAAAACCATAAAAACGGTTTTTGCCATAAGACTGACGTTTTGTCTGCCGATCACCGATGATAGTAGACAGTATAACAACAACCAGCAGAAAGGATAAGCTCAAAACTGGACCGGCTGAAAAAAGTGAAAAAAAAACAGAGCGTGCGAATAAAAGCTATGAAGCAAGAGTGGAGCAGAGAAGGAACCACACGTTTTGCGCAGCGTCAAACATATTGCCCTTCCCATGCTGAAAACTGTGAAACCGAGGTTATTAGGGAGTTCGGGTTGACAAGACGCTCGTCCATCCAAAGACAATTTTCTTTCACGTAAAAGTCGTTTGCATTGTGTCTGAAGTAGGCCCCATTGCCCGAATCTTTTTCTTTAGCTCCAGCCCTTATAATTAGCTTCAATCAGATTCAGACTGAAGAACTCTGGCGAACAGTCAGCCTTATTGATGATTTTACAAACCTTTGTTTTTGTGGATTACACAGGCGGAAGAATCACTCCTGCAAATACCGGTGAAATGGACAACACAGTATTTGTTTTCACGTCCCGCGCATCAGATGTAAGTGCCTCTAAGTTCGCGTTCAGCACCTCAATTTCACGAACTAGATTTTCGGGGTTTCGAACTCTCGATGACACTTCGTCGTCCAGACGAACTTGTTTTTTTTACCTATCAATGGGCGGAGGGCCGCCAAATGTTCGGCGAGTTCTGCTAATTATTTATGTGAACTATGAGCCCATTATTTATTTGAGCCCATCAAAGGTTTCAATTGAGACAATAGTTTCGTCTGATTGAGCTTATCGTTGGGCTCTGTTTTTCTACGAGAGGCGTAAAACTAGAGTTTGTAATATGGTGGCCCAACCATTCATATTCCTTTTTCGCAAAGCTAAAACGCCAAATTTTCTCTATCAAGTTTCCGCAGGTTTTTCTCAAACATAGCGATATGTTGAATTTTTGACCCCTTCGATAGAACTAAGATGTTTTCTATGAATGCGTGAGCGCTGGGAAAATTATCCAGGATTGAATCCACGACCCGTTGGAATTCCACCGGCATCGTCGATAGACCATAGAAACTAACCTTGAAATGATAAGAAATTACAAGGTTTACTCGGGTCAGCTCTCAAAGGCAATTGCCCGTATGCGTAGTTCTTTTGATTATGGCGCTATTTTGACCGACCTGTATTTCGTGACTGTAATGATGATAGGCGATACAAAATACTTGTCCAAGCAGTCTTCCAAAATCTCGATATGACCCTGTCCAACAGTTTGTCGATCTCCTTCTCCATCTTGTCCTGGAGAGTTATTGGTTCTCGTCTACCTTTTTGTTGTTTTAGAGTTAGCCTTTTGAAGAACTCTGCCTGTATTTTATAGTTACGTATTTTCCACACCCTAATAAATAAGCTCTAAAATGCTTAATGAAATGCTCTTGCCATTCATCCAGTGGTGTTCTCTGCATGTCCCCTCTGGTTTATTTTGGGGACAAAACTTCCTCCACCACTGATGCCTGGATCAGTTTGAGATCCAGTGCTGCCATCAGATCCCGCCCGATGGTTGATGGCCGACAGCCCCCTATCACATTGAGGACTGCTTCATTCTTCCATGCGTTGGAATGCCGTGTGTTTCATCTTATCTATTATTCCTTAATCCTTGAACTGGTCGTCATCCGGTCCTATCGGCATCAGTTGCACAGCTTGCGTTCCTACGGAAAGTTTCAATTCTCCGATCGTAAATATCAAAACTGGCGAACTGCTATCATGAGTGGCTTTCCCGTTGATTTTCAACGCTGGCCTCGCTCCCGTCACTCAACTCCTCCTCCCTTTCTTCCGGATTTATATTACTATGTAGTCGTTCGAACTGTCCGAATCTCATCCGTGCAGTTCCGCCTGTCGTTCGTTCAACCATCTTACGAAATTTTCATGTTGTGATGCGATATCGTCATACTCGTGGAAATTTCCTCCTTCGGTGTCGTTCTCTCGATTGAAGCCCACGCGGCATCGACCTACGTCTCTCCGTCCTCGACATGTCCGTTCGTAATGAAAATGCACGTAGCGTTCCTCACTGAAGATCTCGCTAAATCTTCAGGGGTAAATCCGCTCTGATCGCAGTTAAAACAACAAAAGAAGACTGATGTTTTGATTTTAGTTTGAATATTATGAATTTTTTGATAACGCGTTGTCAAAGTGCTTGTCGAATAATAAATTGTAATTCTCATCCTGACAAATACTTTGGCGCTCAAAAAAATCAAACAAAATAAGAAGTGTCAGTTGATAATAAAATCTATTAACCGACAACAATGCCGTGTATAATTAAACTTGATTTGAGTACCAAGTTCTGTATTCCTCGAGGCATGAGATGCTGACAACTTCTTATCTTATTGACAACGTCTGAGAAGGCAACAACAAATGTTAATCACATGGATGTTCGTCTTTAACTCTGAAAATGGTAATCAAATTCTTAAATGTAGTCAAATTATTCTGTATAACAATCCAATAAGGCTGAGTTTCAAACTTTCGGCAGAGGGAAAATTCCTGTCCCGTATAAAAATCGTTTTATTTGTTGTAGCGTTGCCTGATGTGACTGTGCATGACATCAACACTGACCTGGAGTTTGTGGTGGTGGCGTGTGATGGCATCTGGGATGTGCTCTCAAACGTGGAGGTGGTCGAGTTCTGCAGACAGAGAATCGCCAATCAGATGGAGCCCACCAAGGTGCTGTTTGCTTAATATCGTATAACATGTAATCTCTGTTTACAAGTGATCAATTGCGTGAAAACAGCCAGATTAAAAGTTACAATTTACATTTTTTAATAAAACAATTAAAATTAAATCTTAATTCAACTTTATGATCACTCACTAAAGTCGAAACAGCTCTAAATTTGACTTAGCTGCCCTAAATTTTGACCATTGTTAAACTTTGCCTTATTTGAGCTCAAATTCTTTGAAGATATTGTCGCAGTAACAATTGGTAACGGGCATTGTAAGTAGAATACGCTTGCTCCGCTTCGCTCGCTTACATCCGGCACTAGGGGAATAGCGCGCGCGAATCAGTGTTTCCCGCTTAATCTACTGTTACTAGTTGTCACTTGATACGAATTGTCGCCTCATGGGCTGTTACGTTTGTCGCCTCATGGGCCGAAGTCGTTTTTCAAATATATTTCCCCAGACAAAGAAGGCCCGCACTAAAGATTCACAATTTCTAATTCTTCAATTGATCCAGCGGTTTTTCGAAAAATTTCCCAAAGCATAAAAGACAAAACTTCGAAAAAATAGGCCAAAAAAGGCGTTTTTAAGCACTTTTTGGAAAATGTTGACCAAAAAATGGCGTTTTTTTCGCGCGAGCTCCCTCCTCAAAATTATTCATATTGTCGCCAGGGGCGCCTTTAGAAAAATTTTGAGCTTTTTCACCGAAAAATGGATGTCATAAAGTTAGACCAAAGGGGGGACCTTTTGGTCATATAGACAGGTTTATTCTTCAATTGGTCCAGCATGATTTCGAGTTTCTAGTCATAACTATTAGGTGAGCTCAGCTACTTTCTAGAATTTTCTGGAAAATGCTGAATCATCTGAAAATTCTGCTTTCTTCGGCAATCTTATTCTATTATAACACATTCTAGGTTTGTGAGGAACTCATCTCCAGATGTCTGGCAACAGAGTGCAACCAGGGGGGTCTGGGCTGCGACAATATGACAGTCATCCTCATCTGCTTCACCCACGCGGGTGACTCATACGCCCACCTAGCCAAAAGATGTTCACGTCCCTCTAACCTCCTAGGCGGCGGGGGAGGAAACAGCAGCAGCAGCCAAAACCAGGCCAGAGGCGGCCACCCTGTCGCAAACGGTGCTAGCTTCAACACTTCCCCTCTTGGAATTACCTCACTAGGGTCAAGTTCAAGAACTAACCCCCACTTGCAACCCGCTGGGGCTAGTTCCAAACTGTACTTGAATGGGTCCCGTTCAAGTTGGAAATATTGATTACATGTTTTATTGGTTTCAATTGTTGATATTAGTTGATGCGTTACAGTGAATAAATTGAAAATTATAACTGCGCTCGTTTTTACAAAGAATCCATATTTTGTAAGATTGTTTTCAAGCTGAATGAGGCAGCTGTTTTCTTATTGTCTGCTCAGGCGTTTCCTCATCTGTTAATATTAAAATCTTTTCTAAAACTTTAAAGTTTTCCATTATAAAAAACATTTCCAGTAAAAGTTAAATTACCGATAAATTTACGAAATTCGGAAAAGAATTCGTTTAAAAATTGGCGCGCGAAGAGATACTAACTGAATTATGTCCAGGAAACGGCTTCTTTTCCGAAGTGGTAAAACTTTATATGCTTATTGCTTAGCTTATGAACTGAGTGATTTTTAAATAAGCAAGTTCGCGTGTTTTTTCTCAAGACATATTAAGAGGTTTATCTTATTCGCCAATTGAAATACAAATTACACTCTCAAATAGCACAGAACCAAAAGTGGCGTAGAAATGAAGTTCGATTTGGTGGAAAGGCAGTAGCTGAATAGGCGAGGGGCCGGGAGGGGGAGGGGCGGACGCTCTACCCCTTCAGAGATTTGAACCCTTGACTACCCACAATGTCCCCTTTTGGTACTAATTTAAGACCTCTATTTTTTGCTGGCTGACTCTCAAATTTTAAATTTTTCTTCAAGCGCCTTTGGGCTTTTGGCACTTACTAATTTTGAGGGGGAGCGCGCACCAAAATAGCGCAATTTTCTTGGACGTTTTTATTTCAAAAATTTGCCTGGGGTGCAAAAAATTGGCCGAACTAGCGTCTTTATAGTGCTTAGGGAGAGCTGGAACAAGACCTAGAAGAAAACCGCCCTCTCGAGAAAATCCTAGATACCCTCCTGCACAAATGGCTCAAATTAGTGCATCTTTATCAAAAAATGATTAACTTTATCGTACGGTCGGGTCGAATCTTAAAGTACTTGAATATTACGTAATTTGTTCTACGAAGGGCAAAAGTTCTATGAAGGGCGAAATAATTTGGACCTTTTGATCTGTTTTCTTGTGTTTATTATTCTTTTCTGTCGACTATGGTTCGAATCATTCACATTTAATTTCAGATAAAAAAACGGGCTCTGAGCAAAAATATCCTTTATTTAATGATTCAATTTTTTGAAAAAAAAACTAAATGTCAATGAAAAAACTTACTCCTTGAAAAAAAAACTCTTAAATGCCCTTAAAGTCCAAAACAAGACAGACTTGTCAAAGTGCCGGGTTATATGTTTCAAAGGTTTTCTTGACAAATTATCCCTTACCTTTTTATCCCACGCGAAAATATTCCACCAAAAAAAATCAGAAGACACAATAACCCAGGACGAAGTAGCCCACAAAAATTAAAATATTTCATCTGAGGAATCAAAATCCTTGATAATTAATTAGACTTCAAAATTAGGTTTTAGATTTCTGCTTATTTTCAAGTTTCACGGAGGATTTATTTGCTGTTGAAAATTGATTTTGGGTCTCGGAAAAGTGAAATGACAATGGGATTCAATCAATTAATAAAATAACATCTCAGATAGACTCGAGCGATTTTAACATTTCAAAAAACTAAAATGGTATCTCAAAAAAAATATTTAGCTTCTAAAAGAATATGTTCTTTCAAAAGATAAACTTAAAGAGAAAATCATCAAATAATGGCACGAAGGCCATCAAAAAAATGGCACTGATTTTTTTTTTACTCATCGGTTTCTCACATCACTCTGGTGAAGTCTGACAAGCCAAAGTGGTGTGAAAAAAGACAAAAAAAGCAACACAGGTTTCTTCCCAGCAAAAGTTACTTAAAAAATAAAAACCGTTTGCTGTGAAGTTCTTTTTCGTTTTTTTTTGTTTAAAAACTCCCGCTGTTTCCTCCAACAAAAGAAAAAAAAATGGGCAAAAGCACGCGAATGAAATGAAAAAACTAGCTATTACGGTGATTAAAATTGCAGCACAAAAAGATTTGGAGGTTAGCTTTTAACAAAAAAATTTATCTGTTTTTTGCTACTTTGCACGAAATGGAAAAAAGAGAAACTATAAGCAACGTATCAGAGAAGATGATAGCTCATTCGCACCTTTTGTTATTTCGTGCACGGGTGGCATGAGCAACCTTTCTACCACGTTGTACAAAAAACTTACTTCAATGATCAAAGAGAAGAAAAAAAAACTTCGTATAGTCAAGTGTTTTGGGGGATTTGATGTCGCCTTGGGCATGCGCTTCTCAGATCTTTGATCATGTGTTTTCGTGGATCCCGTTCATCATATCGGAGACCGATGCATGATTGTGGTGAGCAAAGAACTCTTGAGGTGCGCTCGATGGGTATCAGCAATTTTGCATAGTTGTTTCTTTTCTGATATTTGTAAGCTGTTGTAGTTTGTTCGAATATGAATAGTTAATTTCATGATGATTGGAAAATTAACTGATTGTATCAATAAATAAACGTGAAATTTACTGTTAAATAAGAAAAACAAATTGCTACTTTAGTTTAATTTACGAAACGAAAAAGTGCAGACAAGTTATCCTCAAGCTTGAAACAGTTTTTTGAAATCTGAATCATGGCTGAAAGGGCATTAATATTACAAAACAATTGACACCCTATAATTATTACTAGATTTTCTACATGTTCAAAACTCTGTTTTTTAAAAATTAGTAATTTCTTTTATCCTCACATCAAATTCCTGCTACTCATTTTGCCACCAAAACATCACCCCCTCACGTTATAAGCATAACAATTTTTGTTATCAATTTTGCCAATACAGCGTAAAAGTAACACTTTTGTTTGAGCCGACAAACGTCTCACTTTCGAGTCTGCTTATCAGTCGTACGTTTTTAACACTGAAACATAGTTACTCGGAAAATTTTTTCAAAAACGTTCTGTATTAATTTCTATTGACCGGCGTGATACATAGCAATTGGGACTTTTATAAAAGTCTTTGCCAGTTATTTTAAATTGCTGTTGAACTAAAAAAAAAGGTAGTTTGTCACGACAATTTTTCTCGAAATATGTTTTTGGACATAGAGCAAGAGTTTTCGGACAGCCAAATAGCTTAAAATATTATCTAACTGAAATCTGGAAATACTAAAAAATTGCCTCTCTGAAACCGAACCTACGCTATCGACTATAGCTAATACTTGCCATGCCCCCGCTATGACAACCTAATCTAACGCTTTTGCTTACAGCTTTGGAGTCTACTTTCTCAGCAGTTAAGCTATATGCGCATGCTGTCATACAAACAACAGCCACTAAAATTTCTTAGTTAACCAGTCGGAGTCCTAACCCGATGGTTATTTAATTAGGGCTCACCTTGTAAAGTGCAATTTGAACCCGCAGTCATATGATCGCATGGAACCAACCTTACCGATGCGCCACATCGCCACATACCATCAACACAGACACTATATATGCTTTTTCGAGAAACTGGCACTAATTTATTCGACTTCGGTCCAAAAAAAGTGGATTCAGTATGACACGCGTTTGCTAAGGTAAATACATATCATGTGGCGAACGGGTAACAAGGGAAACAAAATGATAACTTATTAGGGGTCTTTTCGGTTATACTCTCCCCCAAATGGATATATTTGGCAAAATTTCGAGTTGAAATTGAAAATGCGAAAGCGAGTGAAACACACTATTATCAACCACTCGCTTGCAATTAGCAGCTGCTCGATTAGGAAGCCTAATGATAAATTTGTCATATACTTTTGTTTCCTAATCGAGCAGCTGCTAATTGCACGCGAGTGGTATTCAGTTGTTTGTTTTACTTGCTTTCAATTTCTAATCGAAATTTGAACTAGAGACCAGCCAAAGCTGGAAATACCTGTTTGATGATTTTCGAAGTTTTTGTACTGATGCAAAATTCAGTATTTTATGATTCTAGACAAATTGAAACGGTCAAAAAACAATATTTGATTTTTCCAAAGGCGTAACTTTGTGCTTGAAAATTTTTGAGCGTAGTTGTTTATGCCGGAGAACTTCCCACAACCCATTTTATTCATTGAAACGAAAACCTCTGATTTAGGAGGGTAGTTTTTGAGAAAAATCAAAAGATTTCAACAAACGGTCAAAAATCGAAAACTTGACCTTCAGAGGATAATTAGTTTTTGAGTAAAAAAAATTTGGGCGCTACCGCTTCTTCAGGGGAGCTTTTCGTTGTATTCATTGAAAACAACACTTCAGATTTAGGAGGGTAGTTTTCGAGGGAAGCCAAAGTTTCAAAAACATTCAAAAAAATTGAAAATTTGACTATTCCGAGGGTCATAACTTCTTGTGTAATAAAATTTGGCTGTAACTGCTTCCAAAGGGGAGCTTCCCACAACACGTTTTTTCAATTGAAACCAAAAGCTCAGATTTGGGGTGCAGTTTTTGAGAAAAGTCGAAAAGTTTCAAAACCGGCCAAAAATCATAAACTTTTCCGAAAGTTACAACATTTTGTGGAAAAACATTTGGGCTTAACCGTTTAGGCGGGGGAGTTTCCCACAACCCGTCCTTTCGATTGAAACTTAAATCTCAGGTTTGGTTAAGCAGTTTTCGAGTACAATCAGAAGTTTCAAAACATGGTCAAAAAATCGAAAAATTTACTGTTCTGAGGGCCATAACTTTTTGTGTAAAAATTTGGGCGTAGTCGCTTATGCAGGGAAACTTCTCACACCCTGTTTTATCCGTTGAACGCAAAATCTCAGATTTGGGAGGGTAGTTTTTGAGAAAATTCAAAAGATCCAAAACTTTGGGTCAAAAATTTTCCACACACACTTTTTAGAAGGCTGTAGAAAAAGGGGTATGCTGAAAAGAGACTAGGAGATTATGCAGGCACACAAAAGAGTGGGCGGAAGTCACATTGATACCACTTTTTTGAAAATCGGTAGAGAAGTTTTTGAGAAAAACTAATTTTATGAAAAAGTGAATTTTTCTAAAGCCTCTCAAAAAATTTCCAAATTTATCCATTTAGGGGGGAGGGCAGTATAATCGAAAAAAGGGCTAGGAAACTTCAACTTTACAAGCACCTCAAATCATTTTTTATCTGTAAAACGTTGCTTTTCGAAAATTTAGAACGATAAGTCCATACAGCCTTATTCATGACAATGAATCACTGAAGATTGGCATCCGTTAATAATATCAGCCGGTTTTTCAAATGCACAAATTATAAACAAGAAATTTGCCTTCAACTGTGTTTTATTTTTTAACTTTCCTTCACATCATTTGGAGGCTTAAATTTCATAAAAACGTCAATAACTACTGAAGAAAAATCACAACACAAAATTGAAAAATTCTTCAAAAATATTTTCATGACTAATATTTGAAGACTTTATGAGAAAATTTTTGGCTTGAAATTCCTAATTTTACTATTCGGCTTCAAGTCCGGTCGGCTTGATGTCCGGCACCCACTGAAAAGACACCTTATTTGGTAAGAGCAGTAAGATAATTAACTCCTTTCGCGTGCAAGCATCTGAACTGTGGGTTAGACGCCGAAACTTACAAGAAATCGTTGTATCTTACACCCATTGCACATATTAGTTGCAAGTGTGAGAAAGGCATTTTTCTGTTAATCGAAAATCCAAGTTCATAAATCTGAAATCATTATTTTTTTGCTTCGAAGCTGCTTCAAAAACTATTTCAATTGAGCAATTAATTCTATTTTCTTCTAAACAGTCAATAAAGATATTAATCCATCAAACAGTTACAATATACACACGCGTCGGAAAAAGATACGAATATTAAACAAACTAAGAAACCATCTATGTTATACAAAAAAGTGAAGGGAGAAGGCACTAAATTCTAATTGAGCTTCATGTTATTGTTTAACCTTTAGGATTATACTAGTTTACAAACATGTTACGAAACACAGCTGAACAATTTCACGGCACTCAGATGATAGAATTTGAGAGAAGCAGTAAGCTTTTCAACGAAATATTGTTAAAATGTATCAATAATGACAAGTAATATAAAACATTTCAATTTTTTCCGACAAACCTTACAATTTGTTTATAAATTACATTGAAAAAAGCGAATTCCTTAAGTGAAGAAAAATTATGACCACGGCAGGACTACCAAATTTATTCTATTTACAAAAAAAATCTCAGACCAAAATAAAAATGATAATAAATGCAGTTTTTCGAACATGATATCCGTAATTTGGTAGTTTATAGATTCCCGTTTTTCTTTTTGTGCGTGTGTATCAATCCATATTTATATTACTAGTAAGTGACAGTAATGCACCAGCGTTGACTGATTGATCAGATGAGGTCCAGTTTCCACTTGACCTCTGGACAGACTGGTTCTATCAGCTGGAGGGTCTTCTTCACTCGCAAGGAAGTCAGTCTGGCTGAGCCACTCTCGTGCCAACACTCACACATCAGTCGACCCATCTGGGACAGGACCTGGACAAACAGTTAAACATATGAAATTTCGCTTTATTTACAACTTAGGTTCAGTACAAATGACAGTCTTCAAATTCAGTAACAGTTGTCATTTCAAATTGACGATTTCGAAATTAATCAAAATAAATAAGTGTTGCTTTTAATTAACGCCAATACTGCAACAAATGATAATAGAACACTCACCCTGTCTGCCATCCATTGCCCAGGGACCACGGGTCTCGATTTGTTCACACAGACTACCTTGCGCATCTCCTCGAATGAAGGGTCACTCTGAACGTGATCGAAAAAGGGCGGCTGGTACTCGAATACCTTTCCTAAAACGCGTTAATCAGTCGTGAATTTTTTCCAGTACATCAATTCAAAAAATTCCTTCTGTGATGCCGCGTCAACCCTAACAGGGAACACGTTACTTTCCAAAATTCTTAGATACAATTTTAATATCGTTAATCAAACTATTACTTCAAAATCAAAAAAACGCTACAACAATTTGAAAAATTTGATTTACGGAAAATGGGCACTTCAATCAACTTCAATTATTTTCATTGAGACGACAAAAGCTTTGCACCAATTACGATACCGTGCAAGCATAGCATTATAAGCTAGCGGACAGAAAATGAGAAGCCATTACGTCGATTTACACAAATGAAAAAAAAATGTCAGAATTACGTCTACAAAAATTTCATACAATTGTTTCGAATTTCAAACACAATTGCCAGCGCTAAAAAGGAATTCATAAAAATTTATCGAGTAGCACCACAGCCGACAAAACTTGTGTACACAGAGGTTAAACCGAAACCAAAATTGTTGTCATGAAAAATTTTGAGCAATGAAGTTGTAAAACTTCTTCTTCCCTCGGGGCAAAAAAAAACACATACCAAACAGGCAGATGGAAAAGAGTCAAGAAACGCAAAGAAACAGAAAAAAAATTTAAAAATTTCGAAAAAACTTTCGAATTTCACAGTAAAAAAATATATGGCCTTCAAACTGTTTGGCCTTCGAGAACAATTTATGATTAACTTTTTTGATAAAATTAACTCAATTTGAGAAAACTGGATCAAAAGGTAATATTTTCATTCTGCTGAGAAATCTGAAAATGAAATTCCACTTTAGAAACTAAAAGTCGATCACGTTTTTCGGACATTTATATTTTCGTTCAAGCAGATGAAACTAAATTGAACTCAAATAGTGCATATATACCTAGAAGCGTTCATAAATGTATTGAAATGTATGAATGCACTTCTGTAAAATATTGGAGCATTTTACGACTTTTCCGGAAACAAAAACGAAACAAAAAACAAACAGTCATCCCGAGCTATAAAAAAAGTCTGAATAACATTCATCGAATCTTAAAAATATCTTTCTTTCAAACAAATCAATATTATGTGACTAAGCGGACACATTATAACATGAGCCCGAACCATTTAAAACGAATAAGTCTCGCGAGCAAACCAAAAAAAAAAGAAAATTATATAAAATCAGGGTTGGTAATAAAAAAAACAATCATAACTTTAATACAATTGCGAAATTGCACTTTGCAAATATAAGCCACAAAACGCCATGAAAAAGCCAACCGTTTCAAAAGAGTCAATGAACGCAAAATTCATTAAATGTGAAGAAAAACTTCTGACCAAGATGTTCTCTCGCAGTGGCAAAGTTACCTCTCAAATATTTTAAATGAGACAACTTTTGAACACAAAGGCGAAACTGCGCTTGACAAACACTAGCGAGAACACGACAAAAGCAGCTCTAGAGTTCTAAAAAGTGCAAAAATAAAAAATAAAATAAGCCTCGAATCAGTAAAATTTCGGCGATATCTCGGACTTCAACCTACGACCTAGAAATTTTGTCTATAGTCCACCACAAACACCAATTAGCCACAAATAAAGCCGATAACAGATGCTATGAAATTACCAATGCTACAGATAATTATAGCAAAAAGGCACAAAAGTTTTTAATTGCGAATTAGCTTAGAAAAAAAGGTTCGTACTAAAATACTAGCTGCTCGCTAGCTTAATGAGACAAAAAAAATGAAGTCAAAAATCACCAAGAGCTATTTAAGTCTTCACACAGTTAACTGACTCTTAAGAAAGTAAATTTTCGAAATTGTTCAACGACTCTGTTTGACAGGTCGGAAAAAATGTCTATTTTCGAAATTGTTCAATGATTCTGTTTGACAGGTCGGAAAAAAATGTCTATGATCCGCTAGATTAGTTAATTCTAAATACCAGAAAATTCGCATCGGCGAGCAATCTCCCAGAACACCAGACCCATAGCGTATACGTCTGCCTGTTTGAATTCCTCAAATGAATCCATATTCAGCTTATCGTCCAGAATTTCAGGCGCCATATATCGTTTAGTTCCGACCTAAAACACGTAGAAGCCAAAATACGGAAACTTGTTTGCGTTAAAAATTTGTACATATATTAGTAGTTTACACAATTAAAAATATATTTTCCGATAGTACGAAAAATGCTGCCAAATGATACGCAATTAGCTGTTGCAAAAGTTATTACCTCACGAACAGATACTTCATTATATTTTATTAATTGTTTTTCTTTGAAAGCTTTTGCTATGAAAATGAGCCACGAAGTTAGAACTCAGGTATAAGTTAAACTATATTCGCGCAAAGAAATGCACACTGCTTTGACTCGAGTTTAAAGGAATTCCATCTTTTTGTATTTGTGTTCTAATCTCTTACTTTGGTATTTTGTCCGCGATCTACGTGGTTTGTGTCACGTCTATGAGTAACAGCCAGCCCCAAGTCACCGATGCAACAGGACAAGTTCCTTTTGACAAGGATGTTTCTAGTCTTTAAATCTCTATGAGCTATTGCCGGCTTTCCTTGTGTTCCAGTGATTTCTACGTGTAAATGCACTAGTCCATTTGCAATGGATTGGGCAAATCTGAGCATCACATCGTGTTTCACAGTATTTGTATTCAGAAAATCATACAGTGATCCATATTCATGATAGTGAGTTATCAGCCACATCTGCGTCCAAGAATTTCGAGATATCATATCACTGGCAACAAAGCCGAGAATGTTTTCGTGTCTGAGTAGAACTGTGTTATATATTTCAGTCTCTCGGAACCAAGATTGCTCATCTCTCGATGAAAAAATTTTCACGGCAACCATCTCTCCCTGCCAACTTCCTTTCCATACTTCTCCGTAACGACCAGTTCCGACTCTATCTATGAGATTAATTTGACGAGACACCGTTCTTTGAACTAAGAACGGCAAACCACTACCGCTTCCAGAACTATATGAATGCCCGAGTAAATCCTGCAAACAGAGCAAAACAATCAGCAAATATTGTTCATACTTGATTGTTGTCCAACCACCCCTAAGCCTATTTCTGTCCAACCAACCACGAGACTACTCTTAAGTGTGGTATCCTGTAACAAATCAATTAAAAATTCAAAAAATTGTCTCAGAGCCCAGGAAAACTTGTCTGAACTTAGCCGAATTTTATGACACGAAAATTTAACGGAGACAAAATTACCACGGCGCACTTTTAAGATTATTTTAACAATTATACGCCCATTTTTGCTTTTTTTTAAAAAAAACTAAATTACAAAAGGGGCCCATCCGTTAAGTTACGGTAAGTGCACAAGCTGGATAGGGCCATACCAGCGTTATAAAAATGCATATATATCAGCAATAAAGTCATAAATCAGCATTAAATTTTTGCAGTATATATTGGCCTATTTTGAAGCGTTTACTAATTCGATTGCGCTTCATCTTTTAAAAAAAAAACAATGAATGAGAATTTGTTTTCATTCAACAAATGAAAAATTCTGAAATGCTTTTGATATTTTGACAAAATTGTTTGATATTTTTTTTTCATTTACTATTTGAACTTTTTATCATAAAACTCAGTGATCGGAACCTTTTGTGCAATTTGACTATCCGTGTCAACTTGAATCATTCAAAATAGGACTTTTCAAAATTGTTTGTTTTTCTTGGATATTTCAGCAAAGCTTTCAAAAAATTGTTTTCACGTTTCTGAATTAGAGCTTATGGCAGAGTAACTGTCATGTTCATGCTCATTATTTTTTCTCATTGTATATACTACCCTTCTATCATATAATTCATTCCGCCAAATAGATATTTTTGTTTTGAAAGAATTTTTCAGAGCTGTATCCAACACATCCGCTAGGGTTAAAATAGAAAAGCTTTTTTGGTATATTCAACAATCAAACCTGTAAGGTACTGTCACCAGCAGTTATTGGAGAAAGCGAAGCCTCCGGTTGGCCTCCAAATGGGGTCGCCAAAGGGTTATTGGTTGGTTTCTCGGGAGAAGTTTCAGCGGATGTTGCCTTCTCATATTTATGAGCTTTCCAAGCGTACCGTTTGTAACATCGGAACAAAAAGAACAATAATAGGAGGACAAACAAGCAAACAGTTGCTGGGATAACAATTGAAAGAACTAGAGGGGTTAAACTTTTTTCATCTCCCTTGTTGTTGAAGTGTATGTCATTCCCTATAATGAATAAATAATTGCTTTGAATTTATTGTTCTTCAACCTTTTAATAAATTTGGCAATTAAACACTAACCTCCAATTAATGTCGGCTCCAAGGCCTCGTTACATAATGCTTGATCATTGCAGCAAATTATTGCATGACTTCTAGATGCTGGAGTGTTGCATTGAAGCGGTGAATCAACCGAAATACAACCTGCTCTAGCTACTAGTCCGTAAGGTTCAACCACTAAACATTTCACATTTTCAAATTTTATTTTTAAATATCTTCAAATGTATTCAGTAAACAGATGGAAGCAGTACTAACCAACAGCCGAATAACATTGATCAGCAGACCAACACCATAACTGATTATTACAAGTTTTTGGGTCGCAAAAGCATTTAATGGGCTGAATTGTTTCATTCAAAGCTCTCTCATTCCACAAGTTTATCTCCATATTGATTTCAATCTGGTAACTCGTTAATCAAAAGCTTAATATGTACAATCGTGACATTCTTTAATTACGGAAAATATTACAAACTTTTATTCAGTTTTTTATTGGAATAAGATAAGGGTGAAAATCTCAATATATTTAGCATGATACTTCAAATATTTTGTGTACTTTAAAGTGATGTAAGTATATAAATATAGGTCGTAAAAATAAAAGAGGCTAGAATAAAGCAATTCTGCTGCTATTAAATAGTAAAAACGCTTCGCCGAAGATTTTGTTCAATTTGAAATAGTTTAAGCGACGAAACAACAGAATTTACAAAAATTCGATTCAAAATTGGTTCTAACGCCATGCTAGAACGAATCAGCCAATCAGCAATTGGTATTTTTGTGCGTCATAGTTATGTTCACTTTTTGTTAATTCGAGCTGTTTTAAACCGAACGCGTGTATGTTAAACGCAATTTGTCCTACTATATTTAGTAATAACAATAGCATAGCTGTAAAGCTTTCAATATTAAGAAATAGTCAATATCATACAAGCGAGCAGTTCCATCTTTTCCAGATTTCTTAAGTTGAGGTTTTTGCCGAGACATAGAACGCAATCTGACATGAATTTGATGGGCTCTAATGTATGTGACCCTAACTCAACAATGTTGAGAGATGTAAGGGTCGGGGATAAAAACTTGCACATAAATTGCATCATTTTGGAAAATGGTAAGGAAAAATTCATCTAAATCACTGGTCAAAATGTTACACGAGATAGCGACACATAAAGAGGAATTTCAAAGGGTGGAATGACTATGGGGGAGTTGATTGTTTTTTTTTTGAAGAACTAATAAGATTCGAAAAGTCTTAATTTTTAGCAAAGACACAACTCCCATATATACTTTCCTGGAATTTAAACAGATGAAAGGCATTATTAATGATCACAGTATTGGGTACAAGTATGATTGGGGGTTTCTGAAATCAAATGGAACGTACAATTGATGAAAATTACATGCAATATACACTAGATTTGAAGGAGTTGAGCTGGCTAACCCTCCAAGCATACTTGTACGTTTGACTGAATTACGCATACCCGATATAAACACCAATTTTTTATCATTTATAGTTAAGTAGAAGGATAAGAGGTTGGTTGGAGCTGAGGTTGTGGGGTCAAATAGATTCCTCATGCTTGTAAATCAAAATCAGGTGCATCAAGTTACGATTGGCAGCTAGATCAATCTGCGAATGAATAATATGATTGGTTGGTGCTTAAAAATCAAACAAAAAGAATTGCTTAGTCTTCATGAAATAGAGCTTTCAATTTCCCCTTTAAGTTGTTAGACCACGTTTCAGAAAAATAAAAGATCATATCAAGTATGAAGTGAAAGAGTATATTTTCTTGGTCCAATACAGCGAACAAACGACCCCACCCTGACTTGACCAATATACTGAATCTGGCTTGCAAATTGATGCTGGGTAAAGGAATTAAATTTAAAATTGAAAAGTTTTTCATCAAGGGTGAATATTTAATAGTATTCAAGCACTTCGCTATTCGGTAACATTTTGAACTCAAATTTAATTTTCAGAGCAAAGTGTTCAGAACTTTGTATTTTTTTCGATTATATGGCCTAACCATCCGAAGTTGAATTTTGAATAATCTCAAAAAATTCAATAGAACAAATTCAATAGCTTCCATGCCGCCTTGACTGAGAAGTAGAGAATTCTTCATTTTATCGCTGAATTACGTTATTGGAAGCATACGGCATAGAGAGCTCTTTTTTCACAGCTTTTGCATAATTTAAGTCTTGAGCAACAGTAACTAGAAAAAAAAATATCGCAAAAAAAATTTATCGCTTTAAAATTGAAAACAGTGGATAAAATTGTAGACAATTTTCTTGTATGAAACTTTTAGAACAAACAGTAACAACAAAAGAAGGAAACATGATCAAACTCTTCAAAGTAGCTGATAGGTCAGGCGCAATGACACTTAGCTTGTGGGATGACCTCGGACTTCATGTCACCGGTGGCGATATCATTTATTTACAAAAAGCGTAAGCATTTATTAGTTAGTTTCATATATTTCAATAATAGCTGTAATTTTACAAATAATAGAACTGGATTCGTTTCTGGTTCTTTGAGATTTTGTTCTGTTCTAGTCAGGCTGCCGTTTTCCGTTCTTGCCTGCAGCTAAATCTGATGAAGGGTGGATGTGTTTTCAAGAGGGGCGAGTTTTGCATGGTGTTCGCGGAAATTCCCTTTCTTAGCTCCCCTAACCCAGAGCTGGAAAACCTGGCACCGACAGTCAGCTCCGACAGTCAACCTGTAAGATGTTTTCTAAATTTCTTTTATTTACTTTATCTTTCCATGAGAATTTCCAACTGTACTGAAAGCGGCTGTAATGCGCTATTATGCCGATATCTGGGATCTTCATAACAATCTTCCCTTCGAGAAGGGGGTGTAGAGATTGTTAAGTAGAATAAGTTGTTGAATTTGCGACCAATCAGAATGCAGCAAAATAAGAATTCTCAAAACAAAGCTCTAGCTTATAGTGGTGGAGATTCTTTGGTAGATACCTGAAGTGTTAAATAGATCCGATATCTCATCTTTAAAAACGCTTCATTGCATTACTTTAAAAACCAATGTTGCAAATGAACTAACGAGCTAAGGTCGCAACTATTTACGCTTACCCAAAAATATTTGATTATAGCTATAAATAGTAAAAATGCTAAGATTGATGCTAATTTTCAATGAGATAAAAATTACCGCCGTGGTTGTGAATATAGTTGTGAAGGTGGCGTCCCTCATGACGGAGGGACCAAACGTTGGAAATTTTTTCACGTATTTTCAGCCAATCAGAATTGCGTATTCAAACTTATCAAAGAAATCGCAAAAATCTCAATAGACCCAGGCCGTAAAAATTATTTTTGACCGATTAGAAAATAAGATAAGAAGATACATGCATTTTCAAATATTAGGAAATCGAGGTCGCGTATTTGAAAAAAAAAAACAATTTTTAAACAATTGAAAACAAAATATTGTATATCCGCAGAAATTGTACAGCAAACTTTGCTGTGCCGCTTAAATTCATTCTTATGTGCAAAAGTTAACATCTGATTGACTAACAATTCTCAACTTAGGTCCAAGATAACATCCGCCCCCCAAACGGCTTTGGGGGGGGGGGGGTATTAACTTGGTCCAATTAGCCAATCAGAGCGTCTAACGATTCTGGATGAAATGTTTCCATCATGCGGTCTCTGCATCATGAGAATACTCCCCCCTTCCGTTATGAATATAGAGGCAAGGCCTGAGCGGCTTATTAAAAAAATATTCAAGTTATTTCAAATATTCAAATTTCATGGCCAATTTTGTTAAATTATTTTTCGGTAGCGACCTTGAGACCATTCATACAAGCATAGTGTTTACGCGATAGGGTTTTTATGGAAATTAAAGTCATAGTCATAGATGTGTCTGAAAAAACGTCTTTACTACGATGTTCACCATGCAAGGAAGTTAGTTTGCAGTGTTTTGATTGTTGGCAATCTAATTATAAGGTTATGGGATGAGTTATTTAAGCTAATGACTGGAGCGAAAAAATCTGACTGGGGTGAGGATTTCAAGTCTTTTTGGAGGGGCGGCTTGTTTTTTGGCTCATCAAAATAATGCATTGGTACTTAATTTTGTCAACTTTGAAATTTGTAAATGAACCAGTCAAATCAGTGAAATTTAACCTAATGGTGGAATAAATCTCAAAAGAGGATAAGGTTCATCAACCCACCCTAAGCAAAATTAATCCCATTTTCCATCTTGCTAGAAATCGATGCGATTGGAATGGGTATTATCCAATCAAGATTAAGCTTGTACTTTCGTGAATGTATCTCAATTCTCATAAACAGCAACATAACCATTTGAATGGCAAAATTAAAAAAAATTCTGTAACCAATTGATCAACTAAATAACCTTTTTTTTGTCGGGCGAGGGATGATTAAATGATTTTATCTAATTTGCCAATATTTGTTATTGGCCTCTGTTTCGCATTGTTTCAATTTTCAGTTAGCTATCAGCCCCTGTGATATTCAAAAATGTAGCGTTCGCTTAATTTTTACGCTTGGAAAATTTGAGCTGTTAAATATCATTTTAGGGGAGATGGAGAGGATGGTGTGTAACTAAAAAGACCCCTTTTTCACCATCTTATCTAATTTTGCGTGGAATATATATTTTTTAATTTTTTCGTTTTTCGTTCCTTTGAAGGCACAAAACTTCAATTCTCAAGCTGCAATCAACAACAACAACAACTTGCCATATCTTCCGAGTGCAATTAAAGGGAATTCAAACCCGCAAAACCAGCCTTTTCCACTTCATCCGAACCACCTAACACCTTCAGGGATCAATTTCCAGGGAAGCATTGGGGTGAATCCGAATCCGATGGAAAACTCCATCCATCAACATGGTGCTTTTCCAGCTACTTCAGCGGCCTCCTCGTCTATGGGAGGTTTTGCTGCTAATCCTTCTGGTGCTAATACTCCCGAATCATTCCAAGCAAATTATGGACACCACTATTCTGCCAACAACAAACAACATCAAAACATGGCCAACAACAATGTGTACTTCAATAATCAGTCGGACCAGAAACAACATCGACCCTTCAATCCCCATCATCAGGGTAGTCGATTCTCATCCGGACCCCAAAAGTGGAAGCAGAACCCAAACCACAGCAGTAACGTTGCTTTTAACGGTGGAGCCAGACATCCTGTATTCAGACATCGAAACAACAATAATTCAGGAGGACCCATGAAAAATCATAACATGCCCCGCAACCAGTCAAAACACAATCAGAAGCCATACTAACCCACTCAGAAAGCCATAAAGCCACTTGTGAAAATGAATCACCTTTGTTAAAAGTTTATTTTTGTTTTTGTTTCGACCGAGGTGCTGAAAATCTTATACTTAGCTACAGCCTTTGGATAAAGTTGTTTAGTAAAGTAAGACGATAGTAAATCCTCAAAATTAAAATGTTTTTTTTTTCAAAATGCAGAATAAGGTTGATTCAATGCAACACAAGGAACAAAAACGAAGACTAGTTCTTATACTAAGAACAAGAAAAATTGACAAGAACTTAGATAGGGCACATATCTTTCTAGCTCAAAGCTTCTTGTTCTTATTGAATTAGTATTTGAAGATGAATTCTCGAAATTTTTAAGGCTGACAATCGAAATATTTGAGCAGATTTTCAACTCGTAAAAAATTCTGGGATGAAAGATTTTACACCATAATTTAGTTATTCAAAAAGTTAGGGTTCTTCCAAAAGCGTATCGCAAAAGGCTAAACTAACAGCTTACAAAATATGTATGCACATTAAACAGCAATTTTCATCCGAATCTTTGCCATATGAATTCGAACATAAGCACAGACAAAGAGGAATCTATCTAAATATATCAGAATAAATAAAGCTAGCTTTTCAAGTAAATCATGCCAAAAAAGAATGCAAATTCAGCATTGAAAGAAATCTTACCAAGCAGTAACAAAACCGAAACAAGACTGCTCGTATCAGGGTGAAGCCCTGAATGTTCCGACTGCCTTCAAGGTTTATGGATCAGTAATATCATAAACAACAAAAAAATAAAATAAAATAAAACGAAATTTTTTTTTCTAAAATTTGATTTTTTTTCTATGAAAATCATCCCCCCACGCGCCATATAAAGTACAAAACAGCAGATTTTACTCCTTGTAACGAATCAATTATGGTAAATAAGCTTCTTTCAACCAATTTGCAGCGATTTCTAAGACGGATTAAATCTCGGCTTACTCGTTAATAGCGCGAAATATATCGCGCGTTAATTGTCCCAAATTGGCCAAAATGGAAATCTTTAAACCCCCATAACTTTAAGAAAAATGATCACAGGTAGAATATCATTTCAAATTTAAGCTCAGGACAACAATACCTTTTGAATGATATTAAAAAAATTCCGTCAAAAATGGCTAGTTAAAAAGTAGAAATTTGTCTGAAGAAAAAAAACCCACCCCGAGCACAAATATTCCGTCACTTTCGTATCGAAAGTCGGAACAAAAAGGGGGAAAATTTTGAAGCTGAAAAAGTTTCAAAAAGACATGAAATCAAAAAAGAGTTTAAACTCTCCGCACTATCATTACACAAACAAAAAAATCGCTCATTAAACGACTGGATATAGTTAACTGCTCAATTTTTAATTAACGTATATTGTTTTCTGGTAAAAAGATGAAATCAGTTAAAATTTTTATTCTGTATTTAACATTTTTCTTCTAGAAGAGAATTGAATTAAGTGCAAAAAAATACAGTAAATATTAGCAAGAAAAATCCAGCAAAAATTAAAAACCTATAAAATTAGAGCTGAGAATTTCTTTGCGTTTCTTTTGCATTTCATAAAATTTTATCTGAAACACTAAAAAATTCAGATCGATTCTCCAAACAGATGTTCTGTAACCAGAAACAGTGGTATATAATGGGCAATGCGTTCCGCGGTGGGTTCGGACCTCGAAGTATAGAAGTAAGTTATGGATTTCAGGGATCACATTCTATGTATCAAGATAGAAAATAAAAAATAGGCTTCGCCATGTCTTAAGATACAAAGTGTCAAATGGTCAGTTTCAGGTTTTTGGCGAGCAAATTTTGCTTCTTTTTAGACCGGGATATTAACTATCATTTCATGAAATAATCCATAGCTTACACGTTTTGCCATGTTATAAGATCAGGTATAGAGTCTAAATTATTGAGCTCAAGTACTTTTTTTTCATGTTAAAAACAAAAAAGTGATAAAAAAGGAACATGTTAAATATCAAAAAATTGTAAAAAAAAGGAAGATTTTCAACAAAATTGTATGAACCTACTTCAAGTTATACAAATTGACAAAAAATTGTTAAACAAGTTTACAGGTTTGGAGCCGATTCCATTTTGTTGACTTTCCTGTATATGGTAAAAAACTCAGTCTTTTTTAGCTTGATTAAAAGTCTCATTTGGTTTTAAATTGTTCAGAAGTTTCTGTTTGTTGTCGAATCTCGTCTAACTGTCGACAATTTTTAACATCGGTCCAATTTCTGAATCTTCAAGTTTTTGTTTACTCAGTCATTTACTACTAATTTTCCATTTATTGCACCAACAGTAAATAATACTGCAGATGTTTAGTATTTAGGTACACCTGAACTTCTTCATGATCAATCTTGTTTAAAGTTTCGCTTTTTTTATTGTTGTTTGAACAACACGAACTTTAGAAGAAAATGTTTTTGATTTAAAAAAAAACGATATCACCAACCACAACTGTCAATTTTTCAAATTTTTCTTCCGTCCAGCTTGCTTACAGAGAAAACAATGTCTCTCACCAAAATAAACAAAAAAAATATTTTGGCTATACACGCTCTTTTGAAAAAAAGATATTTGATAGTGTTCTTGTTTTGTTATTCGCTAAGATACCTCATCATTGTACACTTTGATCAATTCTCTATTTGATAACCATAATTGCTATTTCCTATTAATACACTGGATAATGGATGTTCCACAGCGTCTCGACTAGCAGCAGCAAGAGATTGAATTTTTCCCGCAATATGTAAAAACATCTCGATATACTAATGGCCATGATAAACGAAAAATGAACAGATGGTGTAAAAAATATATAGTAAGAATATATGGAAAATCTTCATAGCATCAAGTTCTGCTGTTGCTTTAGTGAAAAAATTTCTTCCTCGTAAGTTTTCGTGTACTCCTCAATATGATTTCTGATAGCATCAAAATTTTTGACAATCATTGGAAAAAAACGTGAATTTGATTTCAGTTTTTAAGGAACAAGAAATTCGCTTCGCACATAACCAAATATAGGTTCATATCCGTTCCGACCATTGAAAATGGCAAAAAACTTTGTATTTGGGTGTTCTCTAGTTTTTTTCATACTTTTTTGCTTTTCACGCAAAATCAGTAACCAAACATAATCGTTAGAATGGATCAAATCATGTATATAATCAAAACTTTTTCAGTTGTGATTCGTAGTGTCAAAAAATGGTTTTTTGATTTATGCTCATTTTTTTATCGAATGAATGAAACTTGTTTTTAAATGTCATTTTAGGAAGAAAATTCAAAAACTCAATAAGATTCCGCAAAAAAAAATCTTAATAAAAAAAACTCAGATACCGTTGCAAGCAACTTCAACCTCGATATCTCGATCTTGAATGTCCAAATTTTTCTGTAAAAAATTTGTTTCAATTTTTTTAATGATTTGTTTTTAGTTTTGATGTCATTTTTCTTCAAAAATTGTTTTCCAGAATGCCTATTTTAGATCTCTCAGATACTCCAGCGAGCAAATTCATCCTTAAAATTTTCGTCGTGAATATCAAAAAAGTTCTGCTAAAAAATTGAAAACTATCTTTTTTGTTCATTTTTTTTCTAGTCATATCTCTTCAAACATTTTGGTTGTCCAGTTTGGTTGTTTTACTATGATAGTCAAATATGTTTAAAATTTGGTTTTTACTTGCACAGTAGGCGGCTATCTTTTACAAAAATTTCAAAAACCGATTGGCAGAAAGCAATTTTTTGAAGCAAGTTTCGGCTCCTACATGATTTCTCAAACCTGATTTGGTTTTGAAATGATTCCAGCAACTATATACTCATAATTTCCACAATAGAATACACTATTTCTCCTCTTAAGTTGTTTTGAAATTCATCCATTTTTTTGGATCCGCGCTTGATATCATTAGAGAGACTAGCTAGAATTCTCTGACACCGACAGAAAAATAAATCACAACCGACCGTTACTTAAATATTCTGAAAGTTTTTACAGTAAACATCTTACCTCAATTAACAAGTTATCTTCTAAAAGTCTTCCGAATTTTTGTTGTGTTGTAATTTTGATTGATCCTTTCAAAATGAGCTGATTTAAAGTATTGCTTAACAATGTTCTCAAAAATTATAGTTCGATTTTGTATTACATTATTTGTTTTTTTCTTGTTCTCATCTGGAATACAAGCTCGTGGGCATATCCTGCACATCGGTTACAGAAAAAAATTACCAGCAGTAAATCCGAAACGTGATTAACACACTTAGCACAATTAGACCGATCTTCGAAAATCCCTTTTATTCGCTGCTGCTTTCTTTGTAAAAACCTTGAAAGCCAGTCATAGTCATAATCCCCCGGATTTTTTCAAGCAAATCATAGTCAACCGAGAAAATTTTTTTTATAACCAGATGACTTTTACTCGGTAGAACACGAGCCTAAGAAATGCACACAAATTTTTAGATTTATAGGTCTTACCAATCTTCAATGTCCCAAAAAAATGACTGCCCGCATATTTGAGAGAAACGAGGACTTTGGTTTCTTGATATCTGGGAGTCCCAACCTCTTTCTCATTGATAAATTATGAAAAGATGTATGATGCGATAAATTTTGTATTGCATAGTCAACAATTAAAAACAATTACGGTAGAGTAATGTTTTATCTCCCTAGATGTTGCATCAGATCAATCAGTTGATTATTTTTAAAATTTGAGAAAATGGGTCAAAGTGTATATTTTTTCTCACCCGCGACACCTTTCGTCCTAATATTGTGATATTACAGTCTTCCTGAAACTGCCTCGTACGTCAAAATTTCTGAAGTCTCTGTGAATTAGTTTTCTAATACTACTTTTCGTTTCGAGAACCGTTGATTGTTTTTCCACATTGCTTTTCTCAGCTAAAATTTCTGAGTTTTCTTTGAAAAGAAAAGCATAGGTTGTCAGTTTTTGTCGCACAAAAAATGAGTTTTTTGATAAAGTTGGATAACAATGACAACGAAATGGGTTCATGTTTCCCAATTCAGGTTACAGTTTCTGTCGGCTTTAAACCTTAGTTTGGCTCCAAAGTTGACTCAAAGATAAATCTTGCCATCTTTTTGAAATTTATATGCACCTTATTGTAATCTTGAAAGCACTCATCCAATCTTTCAAGTAAACTATTGCGCAAAAAGAAAATTTTTATTTTGGATTTA